ATTGCTGTACATCCAGCATGTGAGGCCAGTTGGTAATATGGTTCACTCTGCAGGGGGCTCGCTTACGACTGCAACAGTCACCTAGTTGATGTTACCTGTGGTGTCACCAGCATCTATAATCTTTCCGAGTCAGGATTAGATGCCCCAGGCAGGTTTGCTGGAGAATTCAAATTGCAACCCTGAGATTCTAACAGCTTCCAGGAGTTCACGCTTCTTGCCTGGTCAACTTATTTTTAAAAGTGAGCAGTCTTCCAAGTTGAGAGATGATTTTAAATTTCAGGTGAGTCTTAAGAAACAGGATATTTTTGGGTTTTTGAGACAGGGTTTCTCTGTGTAGCCTTTGCTGTCTTGAACTTGCTTTGTATACCAGGCTGGCCTTGAACTCACAGAGATCCACCTGCCTCCCAGAGTGCAGGGATTAATACAGGCATGCGCCACCACACCTGGCTCAAGAAACAGGACTTCTTTACCTGTGGACAGTATAATCAATTAGCTGTGTTCCCAACCCTGCCCCACACAGTACTGGGTGATCAGGAAGAATACATTTTTGTAGCACAGTTTTATGATGTCTTTAGCATGCTGTCCATCAGATGTTTCACTATTGGTTAGGTGCTTTAACGATGTTACTTTTCATCCTTACAGTTATCTTCCTCTGGGAAGTATACAGACTTAAAAATTAAGTAGGGTTGAGGAAGCAGGTAAGTTGGTACAGTGCTTGCTTCAAATCAAGAGGACCTGAGCTTAGGTTCTCAGCATCCATGTGAGTGCCAGGTGCCATTGTGTCCATCTGTAATCGTAGCACTGGAGAGGTGGACTCAGCTGGGTCTCTAGAGCTCACTGGCCAGCCAGTTTAGTGAAATCGATGAGCTCCAGCTTCAGTGAGAGGCCTTGTCTCAAAAAATAAGGTAGAATGATTGACAATGATTGACGAAGACACTTGATGTTGGTCTCTGGCCTTTACGTACACACTCTGGTACTTATATGCATCCGCACCCACTTGCACTTGTGCACACTCCCGGACAACAGGTACAGACAACACAAACACAAGCTTAAATTAGTTACCCTTCTTTTCTTTCTTTCTTTCTTTCTTTTTTTCATAAAGCATTTTTCTTTCTCAGTCATGTTGTCGCTGTAAATATTGAGAATGAGCTCTTGGGCCTAAGGAGAAATAAAGAGGGTGCCCTCTCAGCTGTGTCTAGAGTCACATAGTATGAAATCTATGAAGGAAAGCAGGGGATAGTGGGGCAGTGTGTTTAAATGGGGAGGATTCTAGGGATAGGGTCAGACTTGAGATCTGGGAAAGCTGTCCAGGCAGACACTGGAAACCTGAAGAACCTAAGGAGGGAGAAGGGAGTAGTAGATAAAGAGCAGACAGCTTAAGAATGTTGTTAAAAGCCACTTGAGGCGTGATGAGGAGGACAGAGTGTGCTTGAAAACCTGCGAAGAGCTCTGGAGGTAAGAGAAGAGTCATTGGGTATGGGGAGCCCTGGAATCTGGGATATGGTTGGAGCGGGGAGAATCACTGGAACTCTGGGAGACTGAGGAGATGAATGAAGATGGAGAAGTGTCAGTAAGATCTGGCCATTTGCAACTGGCTTTGGTGACTTAGGAGAGATTATGCAGAGCACCGGGTCTAGGAACTTAGAGAAGCTTGATGAGTACATAAGAAAGAGGTTAAGGAACTGTAGTAAAATATTGAGAGCTGTTTTGAGGTATAGAAAATAAACTTTATGGGGGTGGGAGTCAAATGGCTTCTTTTTTTTTTTGTTACTACAAATTGTATATATTTTACTAGGTGCTTAAGAAGTAAAGTGGTTGGTATTGCATGCTTTTAATCCCAGTATTGAGGAGGCAGAGGCAAGCAGCAGGTCTCTGAGTTTAAGGCCAGTTTGGTTTACTGAGTGAGTTCTAGGACAGCCAGGGCCACATAGAGAGACCTCATCTCTAAAACGGACAAATCCCAAATAAAACTTTGTATGTTCATGGTGGCACATGGCTTTAATCCCAGCATATGGAGGAGCAGAGGCAGGAAAAGGCTAGTCTGGTTTGTAGTGAGTTCCAGCACTGCAAGGGCTACCGAGAAACCCTGTCTTGAAGAATTAAAAAAAAAAAAAAAAATCCACATATCACAAGAGAAATACAGAAACTAGAGTGTGATTTAATGAATTCTTAGAAATCATATCTGCATAAGCATAAGGAAATGTTGATGTTGGAGAGATGGGTTAAGCGCTCTTGCTGCTCTTAACGTAAACCCTGGGTTCTGTTCCTAATGTTAGGCCACCTTTAACTGTCTGAAATTCCTGAGCCAAGAAATTTAATGCCGCCTTCTGGACCTTGTGGGTGTTGCACTCATGTGTGGCACACATACTACACATAAAAAACAAAACAAAACAAACAAACAAACAAAAAAACAAAAAAACAAATAGCACAGTGCCTCCTCCCTGTGCCTCCTCTCACCTCATCCCTAAGCACAGACTCTGTTCCTGAGTTTGGTCCAATTGATTGGTTATGTCTTGCTGGGTTGCCCATGCTGACCTTAAGTTCTTGGGCTCAAGTGATTTAACTGCCTCAGTCTCCCAAGTAGGTGGGACTGTGGGAGATACCACTATGCCAGGATATACTACCCTAGTTTCCACACTCAATTGTCTTCCCTGCTTTTACATGTGATCATTTAGTCTATGTGCATTTGTGCCTGTTTAAGTCAGCAGTAGATCTATAGAAGATTTGTCTGTATAAATATAAATGTAAATATTCATATGTATATCTCATTGTAGGAACATAATCTCTCCATTTTGCTTTTGATGGGCATTTGGGCTGTTTATAGCTTAGGGCTATTATAGTATTGCTTCCGTGGATATTCTTGTGTGCTTTCTTTTGGTGAATGAATTTCTATTGGTGAATGTATTATACCTAGAAGCAGAGTTGCAAAAAAAAAAAATGTGTGTATTGGTATATGTTACACATATACTCTCACATGTATGTACACATTGTTCCTATTCCCCCTCACCCCCCACCACCCTATTACTGATGTACACCTGGTTCCAGGTGGATCCCCCTTCTCCCAGCAGTGTTAGAATCCTAATCCTAACAGCCTTTGAGCATCTGTTAGAATTTCTTCTATTTTTAGCTGTGCCAGTAGGTATTTGGTGGCAACACACTGGCCTATAATTTGTGCTTACCATATGACAAGGAAGAGTTTTTAAAACCTGGGGGATCCTGGAGCATGTCTGAACATTGACCAAAAAAGTTCCACTAGAGTCAGGGGCAGTAGACTGACTTCTGTGTCTAGGGTCCTGTGTTTAGGGCCTGGCTTTGTTACCCACTTTCTGTGACTTTCAGCAACTTACTTCTTTGAACCTTGATTTTCTTACCCGAAAATGAACCGATCTGCTTCGTTAGAATCGCTGGAGCTAATAATGCTAGGTGAAGCACCTGGCTGCGAGTCTAGCAAGGAAGAAAAGTGTTTCTTCAGTCAATGACTGTGCTCTCCTCGCTTATCAAATACATAATTACTTATCAGTTACTTCAGAGAACCTTGACTGTGCCATATGGATAGGACTTCCATAGCATTTTCCTCCGAAGCCTTTGCTATTGTGCTTTAATTGCTTTTTAGGGATTATATACAAGATGAAACGTAACCAGTTCTGTATTAACAATCCATAACACTGGATACTTTGCTTTATGCACTTAGAGCATAGATGCTGTCAACCATTCCAGGAATACATTAGTGGCCATAGGTATGCCACCCCTGGAGATGATTCAGCCAGTTGATGATTTGCTGTGTCAAAACATATTTCTCTGAGGCTTGGGGGCACTTTAACTGGGCATTTTTAAGGGATCTTTGTAAGGTCATATACAGTGGCTTTGCTGTGAATGTGTTAATTCCCTGATGTAGTTCTTCACATCTGTTGAAGTTCTTGCTGCAGAGCCACTTTGGTGCACAGAACTGTTAATTAAAATCAGAGCAGATTGCATGCAATCCTTGGGGACATTGCCTTAGTTTTTGGTGGCTAGTGAGGTAGGTTTGGAGTACCCGCTCCTTTCAAGGCCGAGCCCATGACAGCCAGTGATCCACTTTATTTACTTTGCGCAGGTGTTCGAAATGGGGGAATGTTTTAAAATTACTTAGGAATTTAGTTGTTTGGTTGGTTGTTTTTGAGAAACCATATTATCCAACCTCTTATGACTGTACCAAACCCACCAGCTCTATTACTAATACCATAATTTTCCTGTTCAGCATCAGAAATACCAGCATGTCTCATGAAATTACAAAACCCACATGCTCACTAGCCACACTTAGCCTCTCCTGCTGGGTTCCTCTGGAACAGTACAGTTTTCTTGTTCACTCCCCACCTTGCACCCTCGAACACACATATCTTCTACCCCTCATGCATGGTGGAAGGCTTCAGCACAGTTGGTGTTTGAGGATAAAACCTCAGAATCCATCTTCTCAGAATAGGGTGGGGGAGTAAAATCTAGAAAGGAGTTTGCAGGACAGAGACTGAAGCTTTCCAGAGTGGCCTGTTGACCCCCTCCCCATAGCTGGCTCCACCCGGCTAGTTGGTTAGCAACGTTTTGTTTGTCTGTTTAGGGCTAAGAGATCAGAAGAGCCTTTCCAGGAGAAGAGAGTTTACTTGAGTAGTGGCATGGTTAGTCAACATGACAACCTCTTGCCCTGGGAACTTAGCATGAACATAGCTGTTTAAAAGTTAAGTCAGCTTGCCAGCTCAGTTGGAGAGTTTTTTTTTTACTGACCACATTAGCAGATGTTTCTTTTCTGATATTCAGATATCTCAGTGAACAAAAGCCTAGTCCGCTGACTTTGGTTCTGTTCGACTGAGCCAGGTCTGAGGCATTTTGACACTGCTACTCTTGTCACTTGCCACCTCTACTCCACAGTAAATTTTCCCTGAATGCACACACCCAGACAGACATGGCCCGGTGGGGTCACAGCGCGGCAATAGTCGATGCTTTTCACAGGGCTATCTGCTTCTTTTCAGAGCAAATGAATGGGCCATTCTTTCAAGATCTTTAGAAGAGGCTCTTGAGGTTGGGGAGAATGAAGCAGTGAAGAGGAAGCTAGGCTGCCATGACTCCTAGCTGAGAAGTGGGCCTGATCTTGTATCGCGGTGGCTGATGGTAGGTAGGTGTCTTTCTGAGCCCCCAGCTCTTGTGGATGAGGGCCTTGTATAGTCCCAGTGCCTCAGCATGCTGGCTGCTTCCTAAGTGCTCATTAAGCTGGTAGTGTATCTTACAGTGGAGGTCTACTGTTTGCTGGCAGCGCCCTTGTCTCTCCCTTCATTTGTTTGTTTTTGGGAATCTTAACCTCTTTGTGATGATGGAAATGGGTTGAGCCTAGGTTCTTGTACATACTAAATACTCTGCCTCTGAGCTGGTACCCAGAAATACTTTCAGTAGCCAAACTTGTCCCCCTCTTTTTTTTATCTTATTCTTCTACTTTTCTGTTGTTAATGCTACCAGCTTTTTTTTTTTTTAGTTTTATCTGCCTTCATCTCCTTTCCACGATGTAAAGAGATGGCTGTCCCCTTCCCAGGAGTGAGCTGGCTCCTGATTACAATTCCTTGTCCTTCTAGCCCTTGCTCCCCTCGCTGATGGCTTCCCTTTCTCTGCAGTCCATGTGTCTGTGCTTATGCTAGCGACCCTGGGTCCTCTCCAGTTACTGCTTCCTGTCTTCCTTCCAGATAGCTGACCCTTACAGCACTGCAGATTCTCATCTCTCTTTCCTGTGGTCAGCAGTCAGCTGCTTTCCTCCTAAACTGCTCAGGCAGAGCACATTCACACTTTGTTAGGACAAGGCCTTTGCACATTTTGAGTTCCTCACTGTTTTCTCTTCTCTGGCTTATTTGACAGCACTGGAAAAAAAATTTTCAGTTTTCCCACCTGAGAGCATCCTCTGCCCTCCCTGGTTGGCTCTCTGCTTGCCTTTCTCAGGGCTTTCCATGCCCCAGAGCATCTAATCAGTCTCTTGCCCCACTCTGGCTCTATGTATTTTCAGTATGTCAAACATTCCTAAACCCTGATCTTCAGCCTAGCTGTGTACACGTGGACATGCATGTACCACAGGTGTGAAACTCAATTTTTATCAACTTAACTCACGCCGACACATGCTCTTGTCTGAGGGTGTCATCTTAGTGAGTGATGTCCATTAGTTATCCTGGTGTGTAAATAGGAGAACCTTAGATGTGCCCTGACCCTCCTCTTCCCCCTTTTCAGTAAATTGGCACATCTTGCTGATTCTCTCAGAGATCTACCAGCCCCCTTCTCTTGTTCCCATGGCCTCTACTTCTGCAACAGTTTCCTGTCCATAACCTGACCCTGAAATACAAGATTTCTCCATGGCTCCTGGTTAATTTGTGTCCTTTTGTTTACCTCATCTACCCCCACCCCCAGCCTTACTAAGCATTTTGTAGTTTCTCTCTTCTGTGGTACATACTATTTGTTTTTGTTTTTCTTAGAAAAAAATCTCTATTTCTGACTTTCTGGTAAGCTCTCTATGCTGTTATATCAAGATATGGCACCTCATTAGTGAACTCTTTGTTGTTGTGCCTCTGCCATCTTTGTACTAGCCCTACTCCCCAACCCCCACCATACTTTGTTCAAACCTCCATTAGAAGACTGTCCACTCTGGTAGACCATTAACTCCTTGGGGATGGTTACTGAACACAGGGAAAGGATACAGGGTTTGGCATTAGTAACGGTTCCATATGTGTGTGAATGAGATTTTTGTTGTTTTATCTTTTGATGGAGTCTTACTAGGTAGCTCTGGCTAGCCTGATACCATGTAGACCAGGCTTTGAACTCACAGAGATCTGTCTTCTCAGCCTCCTGAGTGATGGAATTAAAGACCTGTACTGCATTCCTGGCTAAGGAGAGGTTTTAACAGAGTTACTGAATCACCCATGGCCTTGTCCCCTGCACACAGGCCCAGAAAGCCACATGGTAACTGGTGAAACCTCTATGTTTACAGTCTAGCTTTGCCTTCCCAGAGGAAATTGTTAAAGGCATTTTTACAGTGCAGGCAAGGAACATGATATTTGTTGAGTGTTTTATTGTTGTATAGCATGCTGGAGGACAAACATTAAGTACAGAAAGGACATGACTTGTTAGAGGTATACAGCACAGCCCTTGGGCAGTGGACTAGGACAGGACTCTGCCCTGTCTGTACTTACTCAGACAAAGCAACGTGGTCTAAAGAATTCCCTTTTAGAGAAGTGCTACTCACGGTCTTGTCAACAAAGAACTCTTTTTAGGCTGGGAGTGTGCTGTGGCTGTGGTCACGCTGGCTGTGGTAGTGCACTTGCAAGGTGGAGGAGGGGCATCAGGAGTTCCAAGACATCTTAGCTATGTAGTGAGTTTAAGAACAGCCTAGCTTACTTGAGACCCTACCTCAAAACAAAAATTCATTGACTTTAACTTGCAATGCATGTGTGGCATTCATTACCATTATGCCATGTGAATTTGCAGTAAAGCAGATTTGATTTTTTACCTGCTAACTTAGAGGCTCAGGTAAGTGACAGAGACAGGGATGAATGGTTTTGATCTATGCTTAGCCAAGACAGCTTGATTACTCAGCAACCCTTCCTGAGCCACCTGTGTAACAGCCTGCATACTGTGACATTCCCTTTTCTCACAGGGGTCGTGGTGAGGTCAGGGAGTCAGATATTAACCCAGGGTACCTACAGAAGAAAATGGGAGTGTGTCAGAGGCCATGTTAGAAAGTTTAAAAAGCAGTAGAGAAGTCAAGAAGCCTAAAATTGTAACCCATGGTACCCGTGTCTTCCCTTTCCTGTCTGTGCCCCGTTTTTCCTTCTATAAAATGACCAACTGATTTGCCTCTTAGTTCCTTCCAATGTGCTATCTTTGAACTGTGAAAATGCCTTTGTTAAAAAGAGACAGTGCAGGAAGTCTCCATGAGTGTGTGTGGCTTATCAAATAAAAACACTAGATGTTTCATCTATTATCTCTTCAAGCAGAGAGCTCAATGTCCACACAGCGTACTGCTTACTCTGCCCTGGGACACACTCACGCCTCCCAGCAGTCCTTCTTACTGTTATCAGGTTGGTCTAACATTGGAAGGTTGTGGTGATTTTTTTTGCCCTGTGAACCTAAAACACAACTTTTGTCCTCAGTATTTAAGTTTGGTATGTATGATGGGAATAAATAAATAAAACACTCTTTATTAAATTACAGAAGCACTAATTGACAAGGACCCAACACTGTTGGGTATTTGTTGTGTGCATAGCACCAGTAGGGTCCAGTATAGACACAATAGAGTAGTAGTTCCTGTCTGAGATGAGCTAAAGTTTGCAAGTAGAAATAATCTGTGCAGGAACCTGTTAGCAAATGCTGGCACAGAGCTAGAGAGATGGCTCAGCCGTAAGAGCCCCCGCTGCTCGTAGAGGACCTGAGTTGTTCCTAGCGCCCGTGTAAGGCAGCTCACAACCTCCTGTAACTATAGCTCCAAGGCATTTGGTGCCCTCTTCTGTCCTTTATATTCCTGCACACACTGGCATTCACTCCCACAGACACATGACATATAAAAAGAACAGTGCAACCACAGAAACTTAGCTGAGCAGGAGTGTGGATTAAGAGGATTACTTGTATAAGCTAGTGGGAGGGAAAGTCAAAAGATAACATGGTTAAGGATAAGACCTTGGATTCAGAGTCAGAGGCCTGGGCTTTTACAGTATCTGATAGTGTTCCGATAGTCTCTGCGTGTTAGCTAGATGTGTCTTTAAGCCTGGTTGGTTTATATACGTTCTTGTTTTGGTTTGTTTTTCCTGACATGGTTTCTCTGTGTAGTTCTGGCTGTCTTGGAACCCACTCTGTAGACCAGGATGGCATTGAACTCAGAGATCAGCATGCCTCTGCCTTCTGAGCACCAGGATTAAAGGACTGATAATTTTTTTCAGAGAGGACCTTGCTATGTTGCTCAGGCTCAAGTTATCCTCTTCTGTCTCAATTAGTTAGGTAGCTGGGACTGTAGGTATATGTCACTGCATCTGGCTTCACCCATTTATAATACACACCCTCCACACATCAGTGTGTGTGTGTGTGAGTGTGTGAATGACAGAGAGCTCCTTCTGAGCCTCAGGACAAGACAATGCCCTTGAACAAAGTGGGTGTTAAGCTGGTTGTAGTTATAAGTTAAGAATGAATTTTAATGAAGTGATATTTCAGATTAAACTGGTCAGAAAGAGGCAACCTTAAAAAGGTTTTTATACCAGGCTTGTAGTTCACCTTGCTCTGGTAGATGAAATGTTTTCAACATTTGGAACACTAAGTGTGGTAGTAAAAGACCAGGCAAGCCTTCCATGGCCCCTGAAGTCATGGCCTCATACTTGGCAGTTGTGGATCATGTGTCATGCCGTGCCTGTATGCACAGAGATAAAACTGTGGTAATATTGTACATTCTAACTCTTACCTCTTCTTCTCCTGTGCCAGATTTTATCATGTGGGCATCCTGCTGCAACTGGTTATGCTTGGATGGACAGCCTGAGGAGGCCCCACCACCACAAGGAGCCAGGACACAAGCCTATTCCAACCCTGGATACAGCTCCTTTCCTTCCCCCACAGGCCCAGAACCTAGCTGCAAGGCCTGTGGGATCCATTTTGCAAGTACAACCGGGAAGGTAAGTGTCACTGCACTTGACCCCACGACTTCAAGCTTGTGATGCTGGGTCCACAGTTCTGTCCTAGTCATAAAATGTTCGAGAACAACTGTTGGTTCAAGTGAAGGCAAAGCATCTCATATAGACTCCACTTCAGACACCACTTCACCTCTCACTAGCTGTATGACTGAACCTCATCAGTGAGGTACCCTTTCTGGTTCTGGGAATGAAATGAGGTTTTTAAGTGTCCAGTTCCATGCTGGAAACATGGCAGGTGTTGGCCCTGAGCTGTCACATACAAAACCTAGTGGTAGATTATCCTTGTCCTCATTATCAAAAGCCTGTTGGAGACAAGGAAACCCTAGCAGAGAAACTGTAGCAAACTCACTGGCCATCTGCAATGAGCTGCAGTGACATATGGCTATCTCTTTGCTGTTGCCCTCAGACAGCACATGTCCTACAGAACAGGAAGTTTGTAACCAAGAATGGCTGGTAGGATTCGAGGATGAAATGGTCACAATGGGAAAGCAATGGGGTGTGAATTTTTTAAAGCTTACCACTGTGTGTGAAGAACTGTTGAACATTTTAGCCAGGTGTACTAAAACATACCTGATGAGATGACTTTGAAGTCACCCTGAGCTATGTAGTGAAACCGAGTTTCAAACAACAACAAAAAAATGTGGACTTAATTTTACTCTGACTTTTTGGGTTATATTTTGGATTTTTGTTGTTTTTGAGACAGGGCCTTACTCTGTAACTTAAACTAGCCTCGACCTCACCATGTTAATCTAGCTGGCTTCAAACTCAAGGCAATCCCCCTACCGTAGCCTCCCAAGGGCTGGGATTACAGGTGTGTAGAAGGCATGCCACATATTACTTGCTTAGATTTTTTTTGTGTGTGTGTGTGTGTGTGTGTTTGTTTGTTTTTCGAGACAAGAGTTTCTTTGTATAGCCCTAGCTGTCCTGGAACTGCTCTGTAGACCTCAGGCTGGCCTTGAACTCACAGAGATCCTTCTGCTTCTGCTTCCCGAGTACTGAGATTGTGTCATTTAATCCTCACAGTAGCTACAGTGGTTTTTGAAACCACCAAATGCTGTTTTACAGATGGCAAAGTCATAGCATTTAAAATTTAAAAAGAAAACTTTGCATGTTAGGTTCCTGGTAAACAGCAAGAGACATCAGCTACTCATTCTTTTTTCTATAAACAATACTCACTATGACATGGTTAAGTACTAGAGGCAGGATTCAAACCCAGATCCTTGATTCCAGCAACGCACAAGAAGGCCTTTGGAATGTTGCATTGAAGATTACAGGTAACGGGCCCAGATTCTCGGGAGCATAAAGATGATTAAAATTGTTCTCCCCCACTGAACGTAAGTGCTAAACCTAACTGGTGTCATACCTAGCCTGGGTTAGTCAAACAGGGATGAAGGAGGTTGTCTCTGTTTAGGGAGCTCACAGAAGGATAGAAAGTTCTAGGGCAAAGTACACATAGACAAGAGAAAAGCAAGCTACTGTGGTCTGAAGCACTCTTATCAGGGCAGACAGACAGATCTCAATTTGGATGATGAAAGATGCTATTGGTACAATATTTTCTTGCTCTAAGTTACGAATTAATCTTGTGCAATTTACAGTGAATTTTGTGAATGTTAAAGATGTTTTCTCCTGCAAGTATTTTTCATTTGTAATTTCATGCTTAAGTGGATCAGCATTCTTATCTTAAGGGTTTGGCATTTACCACCAAAGACTTTTAAAATAGCTTCTCTAGAAGTAGTTGAATTGCCTTGATTACATGAATCCTACCATCGTCTTTCTTTCTTTTTTTTTCTTTTTCTCCTTTGTGGTCAGTATTTTCTACATGCTCACTGGGGGCAAAACATAGACAACTGGAGAGAAGGGACAGGCTGCAATTTTGCCTCAAGCTAACTGTTCCATCTGTCCTGGTAATGCCCACCTGTAGTGCTGTAGTGGTCTAGCGGTTTCAGGGTGAGTTCTGGTGCCCAGCCTCATCAGTTAGACCGGTATGAGAGGTGGAGGAGGTTGAACTTGGTTGAAACTTGGGCATAGTATTCAGATGAAATGGTTTTTGGTGTTGAGAAGAGCTGAGATGGAGCAGAGGGGAAAGAGTAATAGGGGGCCATGCTTTCCTGTGAGTGTCTGCCTTGTGTTGCTTTTTTATAAGTGATCTCTGATAATTCAGTGGTTCAGAACCCAGCAGGATGAGAGTGTGGGCCTCTACAATCCCAGGGAATGTGGCTGAGGGTGCACTGGGGAAGTGAAGAAAAAGCCAAGGGGGGTGGTGCCTGGCCAGGCTGGCACTAGCTGGCTCTTGATGCAGGTGTTTCAGTACTGGCCTGGACCTCTTCTTTGTTGCTGTTTGGTTATTCTGCCTTGATCCATTTGTTAGGATTTACACAGGCCTATCCTTTGCTCATTTCTCCCCTCTGTTGACAGCTTTTTTTCACTGTTGTCTTCCTTACTCAAGGATTTTAACCTCAAGCGTTTCGCTCCTCCTTTATAGAGCTATTTCAGAGGCAGGTTTATTTCAGAGTCCCCAGTAGGCAGGGCCAACAGAAATTGGGTTGTCCTCCTCGCCTTTTGATCTTGCATCCAGAAACCGAGATATTTGGATTTGGCTGATTAAGCAACACAAATTTCATAATTGTGTTGTGCTAGGTCTTATCAAACTGCATTGACTAACGTAACACTCCATGTGGGGACCACAGCTTCATGATACTGCAGCCTCATTTTCAGCCAGACATCCTGAACCCCAAATACTCAGAACTCCCATTTTCTGCTTGCACCGCTGCTGGTCACAACTGCTGTTTGCTGGTGTATCCTCACATTCTTTTCAGTCTCAGCACGGCTTACTGTCTGGTCCTAGCTGAGTAGAGAAGGGCACTGTTTCATGTCCATGTGAACACCCGTTTTCATGCTTTGCCTGAACTGTGTGGATGGCATGTAGACAAACTAACTAGAGCTCTTTTAACCATGTGGACGCTTCAGCCCCACACAAAGGTTGCCCTGATCTTGCCTTGAGACTTTGTCTCAGGTGGTCTTTTTGTAGCTGAACAGCTTTCCATATTGAGGAAAGAAAAAAAAAAAAAAGGCAGCAGAAACATGAAAGCTAATGTAATGGTTAAATGACCGTGAAATGAAAAGTTCCTAACCTCTTGAGTAGGCACCATTGACGAAATCGCAGAGTGTTGAGGAATGACCTCCTAGGAGACTGGTTTGTTATTGGCTGAAGTAGAGCTCAGTCAGCCTATGTCATTGTGCTAGCACAGCCTGCGGACTGAGCAGCCTGGTGTGCTGTCTGTGACTGCACCAGGCAGTGCCAGCTCGAGGGTCAGTCAAACTGTCTAAACTGGACACTGTGCTTTTCACAGAGGAGAGAAGCTAGCATCCCAGTACCTTGTCCTACCCAAATATTTATCTTGAAAATGACTCATATACCTACCACTTCCAGCACTCTGACTGGCCTTGCTGGAGGAAACTGTGAGCAGCCTCTGTGGACAGGGCACTGACTAGGAAGTAGAAAGCCGGGTCTTAGCTTTGGTCCTGTTGGCTGCTTGTGTGGGACTCAGCAAGGCACTGTGGCCACATGGGATGAACATGAGTGAGGGCATCGAACTAGTCCCAGCTCTGCCTTTACCACCTTACCCTGCATAGAATACTTGGTCCCCCAGTATTTGGTCTTTCTCTCTGTACATCAGGAAAGGACATGAGTACTTACATTTTAAAGAGCTTTGAAAATGAAATGACAAGCCAGTCTCACTGTGGCATCAGGATACTAGTATTGGCAATAGCTGCTCGCTGGGCTTGGTGACACATGCCTGCAATCTTAGCACTCGGGAGGCCAGCTTGAGCTACATAATGAGACTCTACCTCAGAAACCCTGGAGATGTAGTGCAGTGGCAGATCACTTACTTAACTTGCAAAAGGTTCTGGGTTCAGTCTCGAGCCCTGAAAAACAAGGTGAGCAAAATCCAGCAACAACAGAAAGTAACTTCTACCATAACCATCATGCATCTGCTTTCTTTCCTTAGCAGTGAGAGAGAAAGGAGCAGAGATGGAGCTAAATACCAGCTCCTCTCCTTAGGAGTCGTCATATATCAGGTGTGCCTCAATACATTATTTGTATGTCTCCACGATGGGAGAGAAGCCCTGTTTTCACCTGCTTCTTACAGTGGGGAAACTGAGTGGCAGAGAGGCCAATGCAGCATACCCAGGATGACTCTTGTGAGCCATTTGAGAAGGAGACTTGAATACAAGGCAGAACTTTTTATTCCAAATATGACGTTGCTATTAATAGCTCCAGACTTTGTTTGAATTAAAACTTACATAACTGCCAGGCTCAGTGGCGCATGCCTGTAATCCCAGCACTCCGGGAGGCAGAGGCATGTGGATCTGAGAGTTCAAGGCCAGCCTGTTCTACAGAGTGAGTCTAGGACAGTCAAGGCTGCACAGAAAAACCCTGTTTTGAAAAACCAAACCAAACCAAAACAAAATTACATAAGCTTTAAATGAAATTATAAACGCAAATGATTGTGTTGTATTTACACATAGTATATAAATGTTAGGTGTCCTGTTGGTGGATACAGACCCAGGAGGTCTGCCACCTCCAAGTGGCCTTTAATCTGAAAGCTGTGGCTCCTGCGTTGTATAAGGAACAGTGGAGTAGAACAAGAGCTGCTGTAGGAGGCCCTGCTGGCCTTGGTGGCCTTGCAGCCCCCATCACTTCCTGACTTGTGCTTTCCTGTCTCTTGCTCTAAGCAGCAGACCTGCTTGGACTGTAAGAAAAACTTCTGCATGATGTGTTCGAGCCAAGAAGGGAACGGGCCACGCCTCTGCCTTCTCTGCCTACGGTTCCGAGCCACAGCCTTTCAGCGGGAGGAGCTCATGAAGATGAAGGTGAAGGACCTGAGGGACTATCTCAGCCTCCATGACATCTCTACCGAAATGTGCCGGGAGAAAGAAGAGCTGGTGTTTTTGGTACTTGGCCAGCAGCCTGTAATCTCTGAGGCAGACAGGACTCATGCTCCCACCTTGTCCCAGGACTTTCCTGAGCATCAGGCCTTCCTGACCCAGCCTCACTCCAGCACAGTACCTTCTACCTCACCCGAGCTCCCTTCTTCACCTGCACAAGCCACCTCTGCTCCCCTAGCCCAAGCTCAGGAAAATCAGCAGGTAGGGGCCAGCATGCAGTTCCTTATCCACTTTGTCTGCTCCGAGGCTCATTGTCCTCTCCCGTGGGAATGGGGTATAAGAAACAGTGTCTAGATGGTATGAAGCTTTCTTTCTCCCTGTTGATTCTGGAAGTGATATTTCCTGGTCATTAGGCTCATGCTCTGGCTTCAGGGATGGTAGTCCTGGTAACCATGTTTTTGTGGGGTTTTTTTGTAATACCTCCATTCCCTAATTAGACTTAACAATTTTTTCATTTCTCTAAAAATACTTTGAGGAAAGTCACCATTATTTCTAGTTTGGGTTAAAAATGTGCCTTCCAGCTTACTACCCTTTGACTGTCTCTCCTAACTGGTGAGGGAGGGGGAGAGATGGGAAGCATTGTGACAGGGGCTTGCTACTGTCCTGGTCACTGTGTGGGAGCAGTGGTGGCCAGCATGCTGTGGGTCTGTTAGCTGCCTTCATGTTACTTGGTGGTGCTGGAAATGGTAAGCAGCAGGTTGAGATGTGGAGAGTCCATAGTGAGCAGATACTGTCTCCATCCTCAGGAAGCCCTGGCAGAGAGAAGCTAGTGGTGGTATCACACAGTTCTGCAGAAGTCCCAACTGATACTTCAAGTCATAGGGCATGGGCATCATAAGCTTAGACTGAGATCAGGGCTCTAGCCACAGATTTCCTTTTTCTTCTGAGACAGGGTTTCTCTGTGTAGCCCTGGCTGTCCTGGAACTCACTCTGTAGACGAGGCTGTCATTGAACTCAGAGATCTACCTGCCTCTGTCCCCTTGAGTGCTGGGATTAAAGGCCCAAGCCACTACCTCCCAGCTGATTTTTGTTTACTTTTTGTAATCCCACTGAGCTACACCACCGACATCACAATTTTTTTGTCTCAGACTCCTTGGTCACCTAGGCACGCTTTGAGCCTAGAACAACGAAACTCCTTTGAGTTAGTCAGTTGCTGAGAGGCTCATCTACCATAGGATGTCTGTGGAGCATGGCACTGCTGAGAACTGGCAGTTCCTTTCCCACATGTGATGTAGGGGGCTGTGCTTCTTGTTTATAGTCACTTCCTTTGCCAGGACTGGACACTCACTCAGCTCTTAACACACATAAAGGCTGACATAATAGCATAACCTAACTGCATAACAACCATTTAACTCCCTGGTTGGGCTAAGCCTATTTTGTCTCAGCAGCTAGTCATTAGTACTCTCCTAAACCCTGGTTCTTGCTTGGGCTATTCAGTAGGTTTTACCTCTTGCTATACATTCCATATAGGACTTGCTATACATTCCTTTCTGCTTGGTTATTAGAGGCATTCTAGTCTGTGTGTTGTGAGCAGGGAGAGGAACCAGAGGAAATATTTTCTTGATGAACCTTCATACAGGTCTCATATAATGTTGTACACCTCAGCCTCAGCTCTTGGGAGCTGGAGGCACACAAGTCAGAATGTTAAGGCTAGCCTCTTCTACATAGTGAGTTCAAGGCCAGACTGCGTAAGAGTCTGTCTCAAAAGAGGAAGGGGTGGGGAGAATGAACAAACCTTCAGGAGATGTTCAATGTAAGATTATAAGCAGAATTTCCCTGCACTGACAGGTCACCCCATGTGCTGAGTGTTATTGGTACTTTTTTTCTTGAAATCTTAGAGGACTTAAGTCTCAGCTTCTGGTCTGTAACACCTAAACTTTGCAAACAGGAAAGCAGGGTTGGGGAAGGGAAGTAACTTGGGCAACGGTGTATGCTAAGTTACAGCAAGCTGCACCCAGGATGCAGATCTATCAGTTCTAGCCCACCAGGGTTCTGTCCTTCAATTTCGATATCTTAGCAGCATTTGCCAGGGAAGAAGTGTGTGCAATTAGCAGAATAGTGGACAGACAGATAATAAGTGTCAATTTTTATTAGCGAGTAGGCAGAATGGGAAGATGCGAGTGTTTACAGCATGGATTTCAGTTGCTCTTTTTAGGGAACAAAAGACTTTCAAAAGCTGTCTACTGAGGAATAGGCTAGCCTCTGGAAGACCCTAGAGTGATACCCAGGTGACAATATCTAAGCGGCCAGTGAGTACCACATTCACACGAAGCTAGGAGGAAACCCTAGGTTCTGATGCAGACACTGTTGGCTGCATCCCCAAATTGATGTTTCATCACTTAAGGTGTCTTTTAATATATGTACATATGTGTATGTATGTATATACATATATGTGTGTGTGTATTTATATATGTATATGAGTACTCTGTCTTCACACACACCCAGAAGAGGGCATCAGATCCCATTACAGATGGTTGTGAGCCACCATGTGGTTGCTGGGAATTGAACTCGGGACCCCTGGAAGAGCAGCCAGTGCTCTTAACGAATGGCTGGAGCTGTCAGGTCTCTTTACTTCCCCATGTTGTCTCTTTACTGTTCATCCAGGGTCTAGGGGATATGTCTTTTGCTCTGAGTTCACACAAGGCTTTTTGCCTAGGGACAGCTGGGAGTGGAGAGGAGCTAGGTAGGGGTCTGTGGCAGAAATGGTTAAGGAGGTCACAATTCTGAGCACACTGACAAAGGTGAGCCCTTCCGAGAAGTTAGAATGCTGAATAGAAGAACCCAAGTGAGGCATTTGTGTTCTGTAGTCTTAGGGGGCTAGGTTCTTAAATTCATTTAGCACACCTAAAGCAGCTTCACGTATGTCATGTCATATCTTACTGGTTAGAATACATTTCTAGAATGTGAGAGACTGCAGAGTGTGACTGGGCTGCTGAAGATCATTTAAAGAGGCCAGAGAGATTCTTGTAAAGGACATGCATGAGCTGTTTGGAAAAACTAGTGGACATTGATCCAGAGGCAGGACTGGGGTAGTAGGTGGAAGCTGTGGGGAAGGCCTTTGGCATAGTGTTGGGAGATGATGTGGTGGAGAGAAACCATTCACCTCAACTGTCCAAGGTGATAGCAAACTGGCAATAACTGTGGCTAATGCCACTCTTTTTGGTGGGCAGAATCAGGGCACTCTTGTTCTTGACGCATCTTTCTATCCATTGAAATCTGTTTGTGTTGTCTCTGCCTGAGAGAGTTGCTGTTAGAAAGCAGGAGTTTGTGGTACTGCTTTGGGAGCCTTGGTTTACAGGGGGAGATGGGAATACATTTTGATATTTGTGTGTGTTGAAAGAGGCCCATGCTTTGTAAGTCACTGGGACATCTCTGTGGATGTGATGGCACCTTTCTCTTCCCACAGGCCACTGGCCATGTGTCTCAGGACCACGAGGAGCCCATCTTCCTGGAGAGCACAGCCACAGTACCTCCCGAGGATGAGACCCAGGTGGGGCCTCTGCTCAGTCCGCACCTTTGCCTCTGTTCTTTTTCTGGTCTTCTTGGGATGTTCTTAGGAGCCTCAGCAGACTCAGGTGGAACAAAGAGGGCCGTTCCGTGAGGACAGTCCTAAAGTCCTTAAGTTTAGTAGTAGCGTTCCAGATTAACCTTTGTTGCTGTCAGTGTGAGCAAGCAGATGTGAGGCCACAGTGGAGGCTGGGATGTACACTTTTGGCTTTCTGAGAGCTGCTAGAGGGTACATACTGGGTGCTACTGTGAAAGTCTTGATCTTTTCCTGTCTGTTTAGGGTGCAGTGGCCAGCCACTGTTGGGGTAGGAGGTAAGATGACAAAGCTTTCAGGCCTCAGTTACATGAGGAACCAGTGCAGAGCATGGTCAGAGCATTGGTTCTGAGGAGCCATACAGCTTCGCCAAGCCATGTGTGGAGTCCTGCCAGGGAGGCTGTACTGAGAAGAGCCAGCACCATACTGGGAGTTTCCTGTGCTGCCACATTTACTTACCATAGGAACCTTGTGTAGCAGGACAGCTGTGTCTCCTTTGTGCAGGAGTAACAGGCTCAATCCGATGGTAAACAACTTGAAAAATAATGTCTAGTATTTAGTGGAGACATCAGCATTGAGAATTGGGGCCCTTATATGCGGGCACCCTTTTATGCATAGTACTGATATGCCAGTGTGTGGCTTTCTGCATAAAGCACGTAATGAGTTAGGGAAAGACCAGTGTATTTTGCTGGGCCAGGCACCATTGCCAGGTCCCTTCTGTTCATGTTCCTTGAGATTGCTCAACAAAATACATTTTTATTGGTGCTCCGGGGGTCCTTCAAGAGAGCTTAAAGGACACAAGAGCTGGCCCACCTGATCACACCTTTGCCATTGCAGTCCATCGACTCCGAAGACAGCTTCGTCCCAGGCCGGAGGGCTTCGCTGTCTGACCTGACCCACCTAGAAGATATTGAAGGCCTGACAGTGCGGCAGCTGAAGGAGATCCTTGCTCGAAACTTTGTCAACTATAAGGGCTGCTGTGAGAAGTGGGAACTGATGGAGAGGGTGACTCGGCTGTACAAGGACCAGAAAGGACTCCAGCACCTGGGTGAGGGGCTGTCTGGGTGTGACTGAATAGAGCTCTCTCTGCTGCCATCCCACATGCAATGGCATCAAACCAACTTGATCCCCATGTGCTTAGCCTCAGGAAGCCAGCCTACACATTTGTACATCTCAAGTACCCAGACTGGAGACAGGCACTGAATACACAATTTCATCCTCAGAGCAGCCTGGGCACCAGAGACTATTGGTATTACCCTTTCACCACAGAGCCAAGATCTGAACTAAGGATTCCCTAGGTTGCAGGGTCCTCCTGCCATGTTACAGCCACTCCATACTCATTACTACCACCAGCAATGTTTAATCTGAATCAGTTACAGGTTGGAAAGCAAACTAGTGTGTAGTGGGCTTTTCTTGTGTTCACTTCCCAAAGCATTTCACATAGTGTCATTTTAGATGTTTTACACTGTCCTCATACTGATTTGTTGTAGGTGTTTTTCAAGTTAAATGCAGAGACATCCTGCAGAAGAGAAACATGCTAGGCAAGCACTTTACCATTAAGCTGCATCCCCAGCCACACTAGCAGTAATCTTCCCTGGTGCTGGGGATCAACAACCTGGGGTCACCTTCCGTATGCTAAGCAAGCTTTCTCTCTCTCTTTATGTATATGAATGCTCTATCTGCATATACACCTGCATGTCAGAAGAGGGCATCAGATCACTTTATAGAGGATTGTGAGCCACCATATAGTTGCTGGGAATTGAACTCAGGACCTCTGAGCCATTTCTCCAGCCCAATTAAGCAAGCTTCTTCTGTCACTAAGCTACAGCCCAGCCCTAGCCCTTCCTCTGGCCATTTTGAATTGGACATTTTCTCTTTTAACACAGAGCTCTCATCTTCCTTCTCCTTGCCAGCTGATAGTTCTTTGAGAATTTTGATTCCTTGTATGATAAGTGGTTGTTAAAGCTGAGCTTCATTCAGGCCTTCCTTTAACAAAATTGAATAACTCAAATTGACCAAGTTTGGGGAAGTCTAACAGCACTGGTTACTGACTTGGGGCCTGACAAGGAGTCTGTCTTCCCTTTGGGATTATCTCAAGAGTCTCCTTAGAGTCCCAAAGACTTTGAAAGTAGTTTCTAAATTCTGGGTCTCACTATGTATCCCAAGCTGGCTAGGAACTTGATGAGGAGATTAGTTTGGCTTCTAACTCAGAGAAGATCCATCTGCCTGGGCCTTCTCAAATGTTTGAGATTGAAGGTGTGCACTACCCTGTCTGCTGCTGCTGCTTTTTAAAGACATGGTCTCAATACATAGCTCAGGCTGGCCTGGAACTCATGATCCATCCTCTGCCTCTGCTGGGATTATAGGCATATACCACCATGCCTTACTATGTGTAGGAGCTTTATCCAGAATCCTTGGCTCACTGAACTGGTCTAATTCTTTATTCTTTTTTACCTCTATGGCGGCTTCAGAAGCAGTATCAAAGGCTATTGTGTATGTGCAGTGTCCTCTCATCTGACAGTGGTCACTATAGGCCAGTAAGTCTGCTTTTCTGAGATGGAACAGCAAGGGCTCTTGTGACTTCTTGGCACATAGAGTGAGGAGGGCAAGCATCTGTCTAGCCTCCAGCCAGGTCCCCTTCTCAGCCTGGAGCTGCCTAGAGTTCAGAAATGATGGCAAGGTAGTGGGAGACTACCTTTGTGCTATCACACTCCTGTTTACACGTCTTTTTCTTTCCTTTTCAGTGTCTGCTGATGAAGACCAAAACGGTATGTGATTGTTTCTGTTAAAGATATGCTCAGGCTCATAGCCATTTTGTCCTTCTGACTTCAACTCTGATGGCTCCAGGGAGGCTGTGGGAAAAGCACAGTCAGGCATTCTCCTTGCCCCGCCTCTATTTAGGAAGTCCACAGCAGCCAAGGGGCTTGGCTGAATTGGAGCAGACTCCATATCTGAGGACTGTCATGCTCAGTTTCTTCATGTCATCTGTCTGGGAAGAGAGTCTCTACACTTTGAGGCGTTATTTAAGTTTTTTTGTTTTCGTTTTTAAAACAGGGTCTGTCTGTGTAGCCCTGGCTGGCCTAGACTTCACTATAGTAGACCAAGCTGGCCTACCATAGGTGTCTGCCAGCCAAAAAAGCACAAGGGTAGTGACCCAGAAAGCCTTGTTTGAATGGTAGTCAGAGCTGCTCAGGAGACAATACAGGTTGTGGATGCCCTCTAAGCTCAACATTCATATTCCACCTGGCTGCCATAATACCCACCGGTGTGTTAAAGGCTGGGAGCATCCTCAGAGCACACTGTAGAACGTGGTACCCTGTGAGATGTTTTCTCACTCACACAAAATACATATATACACATATATATAATGTATATATTATATATAATGCATATGTATATATATGTATATATATATTCATATGTATATATATTCATACGTGTATATATATATATTCATACATATATATATAAATATTCACACACACACACACACATATATATATATATGTATAGTGCCCTTTTGAAAGCCTTGAGGAATGTGGTTGTAAACTCCCAATAATGAATATTCTTAGTAGTGTTTTAACCTGCAGAACACTTTAGAACAGTTTTCAGAAGAATTTATCATAAGTAGAATGGGCAGAGGTACATTTTCTTCTTAGTCTCTGTAATTAATCATCTAGGTTACCCCACCCCACCCCACCCCACCCCACCCCACACCAGTAATACCAAGATCAGATTAATCTACTTGTTACCATCCTTCTTTCTTCTCATTCCCTGGAGAATGCCGAATTCTGAGTTGTTGCATTTATTGTGTCTCCTCAGTGATGTAATGAATGTCTGAAATTCTGTAGATAACTCCAGTGTACCTTTCTAACCTCTGTATTAAGGCCACAGGGGCTTTAAGTTGGTTGAACTCTGACAGCCAGGCACCTCCTGTGGGAAGTGTTCTTTGATTTGATGTATTTCAATATGAGTAGCTACATGAAAATATTCCAGAACTACCAAACTGTAGCAATTAAAAAGAAAAAAAAAGTACACGAAAGGATTTGTGCATTCAGTGACTTCTTAGACTAGTCCAGAAGCAACAGATAAATGGAGAGTTTCCCTGAAGAATGGCCAAGTCTAGGTGAGAGATGTGGTTAGTATGACAATTGTAGATTATGGCTGCTTACTTTAGGCTAGTTTGATACCCTGGAGATAGGGTGGGCTTTGGATATGAAGGCTTCTCTCAGGTGAGCTAGGTTAGTAACTGTTCTCCACTAGCATAAGCCAGTTAGTATTGAGAACTCTCTCTACTGGGCAGTTAATAGTGTCTTGATAGTCTCTGCCCTTGGAGCCATTATCCAGAAGGCCATAAGTCCATGAGCCTCTCTGATTTGAATGTGGGCTATCTCAGCAGCCCTGTGTCCTTGGGCAAGCTACTTAATTCTGGTCTAGGTTGTATCATCTATAAAACCTACATCAGCACCTCTGGGTTAATACAGAAAGCTCTTAGGACCCTGCCTGACACATGGTAGGCAGTTAGTCAGTGTGAGCAGTTATCATTCCCTGGGCAGAATGTTCATTATCAGATGTTTAAAGAATACCTACCATGTGACTCATGTTTTGGGAATTCAAAGATAAGTATCTAACCTCAGAGCACAAAGCAAATGCTAAGCTTGTGATTTCTGACTGAATAAGTTGAATTAGAAGTTCTTAGTCTACTGTTGCAGATAAGTAAATTATCATACAGTATGATAAGCAGCAGGGGTATGAATAAAATTCAATGGTTGTAGCACAGAAAAGGGAGCAAGCAGTATCTGCCCACTTCCCTCTATCAAGAAGTCTTTTCAGAAGAAGCCTAGAGGTAGATTGCTAGCACATGGGGTCCCCTATGATTCTCAGCTTTATTAAATCAGGTCTATGTTTATAGATAAGCCTTATGGTTCTTAATGAACCATTCACAGCAGTTCTGTTTATATCCAAACTTTTTTGAACCAGTTTTATCTTTTCTGTACATTCTGCCTCAGGGGATATGGTACCTAAGCAAGGCTCACTCACTATATTACAGCCTCTGTTGCCAAATTTCTTCTTTCTAGTTCTGAATCCTGGGATGTTTTTGATCTGAGAATACCATACTCACTTATCAGGAGTGGGGTCTGACTAAGCAGCTGGATGTGGTTTGGTTACTGAGTCTTGGGTTTTTTTTCCTTTTTTTTTTTTTTTTGAAGGTGCTCCAACAGGAGTATGGATTTGGGGTTTTGTTGAGTGCAGCTCCTTATACACAGAAACATAATCTTTTCTTCCTTTCTGCCCTGTCCAGGAGGAGCAGTGCCTTCTGGCCTGGAGGAGAACCTGTGTAAGATCTGCATGGACTCACCCATTGACTGTGTTCTGCTGGAGTGTGGCCACATGGTGACCTGTACCAAGTGTGGCAAACGCATGAACGAGTGTCCTATTTGCCGGCAGTATGTTATCCGAGCAGTACATGTCTTCCGGTCCTGAGGGCTAGCATTGGCTTCTTCAGTGCCTTACAGGATATAGCCCAAGGTGTCTGGGCTCAGGGTTGATTCGATGCATAAGGAGTCTAATGCGAGATACTGGCAGCGATCTTAAAACTAGGACAAGCAGAGGTGCTTGGCATGCCTGTCTTGCCATGGGCTGTACCTCTTAGGTGGCAGAGCCCAAAGCCAGGGGGAACTGGTTCAGATCACATGGGTGAGTGCCTGCTTCTATGATCATTGGGTGGTGATGGTAATCAATGAAGAGGACTTTCTAGAACTTGGACCATGTCTTTTTCCCTTCCTGAGAACCCAAGACACATTTCACACATCCGATACACCACTCCTTCTGCTTCACCAATCAAAGATCCTTCTGGAAATGGTCAGAGTCGTGTTCCCCTCCCGCCCCCCAGCACGTTAGGATTTAAAGTTCTGGACTTTGTGGCTTTCTGTGTTAACATATATTTTAAGCCTGCTCATTTGCCTAAAACTCACTTGTTTCTATGGACCAAAACAAAGTTAAATTAGATCAATAATATTCCTTATATCAGAATTTGGGTCAGTAAACTTACCTCTAGTGAGAAATTAAGTCTAAGTGCTATAGAAAAAAAATTCTAGGGTTGAGTTACTTCTGTTTAGTGTTGGAGTTGGAAATGACCAGTCTCCTGAACTGACCCCAGCTGCTGGGAAGTCCATAAGAGATGCTGTATGGGTTTGACTTTGTACCATCCTTAGCTTTGGATTATAAGGAAAGAGAAATGGAGGCAGTGGCTTTCTGTTTATCTTTGACTTCGGATTCTTTTTCCAGAAAGCAAAAGTCTTACAAACAAAACAAAACACACTTTATTAGTTTCTCTTCCTTGGGTTTTAAACTTGCTTACTGAAGGCCTATCTGCCCATGGAGTTCCTTAGGAACAGTGTATGAGGCACTGGAAGGTTCTGAATGAGGTTGGACTATACCCATGGCTTCTGAAAAGTCTTAATTCCACTCCCTTCTCAGCTGTTTGGGCAGGTCAGGATGAAGCATTCTCCCAAGTCATGATTCCAGCCCTCTTGGAGTCTTTTTCCCATTGACATAACTGAAGGGTCTGAGTAGTGTTTCCTGGACCAGCTCAACAAAGCACAAAACATATATAGAACTTGGACCGTGTCCTTTTCTTTATGTTTATAGATACATATATGTATGTATATATCCAAAAGAGCTGTGTTCCTCTGTTTTGGATGAACCCACAACACTATATCGCACCCTGGTTAACACTCCCCTGGAAGAACCAGTCATGACTCTGGAAACAGAGGGGACACCTAAGGGGCTACTAGAAATGCTTAGGTTTTCTCTCCATCATTAACCACTGAATTTCTTCAGGGAATTAAGTAGTTTCACGAAGTTGTCAGAGAAACCCAGGCCACTTACCTCTACATTCTAAGTCCAGATTTTGGGTCAAAGCCTTTCTGAGTGTCAGGGAATCAGCTCCCTCCATAAAGACCACCTTTCTCTCCCTCCCTTGAACAGTGAGTACTATGGTTTACAATGTCTTCAGTTTACCATGGCCCACCAATTTTGCTGCTCCTGGACTTCACTGTGAAACAGGTCTGATTATGCAGCTCAGTAAGACCTAACAGTAACTTCAAAGCTGGCTTTCCCTTATGACTGCTTTCTCTTCTGAGGCCTTACCTCCCTACCTCCTAGACAGGAACAGAAAATAATAGACTGATGGCCGTGGTTAGCAACCCCAGTAACAATCAGAACTGATGTATTGATGTCACTTATTATGAAGAAATAATTTACCTTTAAATCTGTTTTCATTTGGAGGAAAAATAACAGATGTCAAACAATTTTATTGTTATACCAAATTAAAGTTGGTACCCATTCCAGTTAACATCTAACCCTGATAGAAAACCTGATTTTTTTTTTTTTTTAATACCTGAGCCCCTTCTGTTCTTTACAGATCCTTGGTCTTAATGTGGAAACACCTAATCCTTCCAATTCTGTGGATTTTGCTGTGATTGCGCCAAGATTTCAGTTGACTTAGTTTTAAAAGACGCTGACTGGTTCATAGGTTGGAGTAGCCAGTTCTAAACTAATAAGCTGTAAAGAATTAATAGTCTATGTTGTACATTTGTTGAGATCTCTTGAATGAGAATGTGTTGCTCCAAGTGGCTTATATTAAGATTCTCTCACCTGGGTGTTAAAAGCAAACCCAAATGTGTATTTTTTGTTACAGAGCTCTGCTTTATAATTTTGTAATAAAGTTTAAATACAGATGCCTGTCCCATCTGGCGTGGGAATGATGCCAGAGGCGCCAAAGAACCTATAAATGCAGGCAAGCATCAGGCCACACAGAGGTGTTGTTCTTCACAGACCGCATCTCACTTTTGGACATGCTTGGGCCACCTAATCCTGCCCAAGGTAGCCCTGCCCTGTGTTGTGACTTGCCAAAGATCACAAAAGTATGTGGGAGAAATGGAACAGACCTAGAGAGAAGTGTGAGGATTAGTCTCAAGAGCAAATGGGAAGCACCATGTGAGTTATTTATAGTCCCACTGTAGAGGAGCCTTCAAGAGCTAAGTAGAAAGGAATCTTAAGTTTTCATGTTACGCTGAAAGATGGACAGACAAGTGTGGCTCAAAGGTTGGCCCAGCTGAAAGAGCAGACTGCATAGTAGGCCAGAACCCACCCACCCAACCAGGTGCCCGAGGGGAATGTGTCACCTCTGGGAAAACTGGATGAGACAGTATTCTATCCTGACTCTTGCTCATGGCCCACCTGATGAGCAGGCAGTGATCAGTTGGCACTACATAAACAAAAGGCTGAAGAGGGCAAGTTTCCAGCCTCGGGTAGATTCAGAGTGATATTGCTTAGGGTTGGAAAGACAGGAAAAGATATAAAGGTGTATGTACAGTCTAGTCTCCCTACAAAGGGGATTGTGATGATCTGGAAGAAATGTACAAAGACCTAACAGTGAACTAGAGTGAATACATAGTAAGGCATTAAAGGGACAGGGGCTAAACTTTCGGCAACACTCTTGGCCCTGAGTGTGGGGAAGAGTTGTCTTTGATGTTCCACCTAGCTGCTTGGTTCAAAGAAAGCTAGTACTCAAAGCACAAAGCAGCTTCTGCCTTGAGGGTGGGTTAAAAAGTGTTTTACTCATCAGACTGAGTGATGTCCACTCTGCCCTCCTTGGAGCATCAACACTCCCACATTTTAAACGCAGGTGAAAGGCAAAGCCAGATTGGTAAGTAAACTCCTGGTAGAATATCACTTAGGAGTGTATGGGGTGGTAGGTCTGTATCTTAGAGGCCCACATAAGCATTTAAGAAGCACATAGGTCCCAGGAGGTGGATGGGTAAGCCTGCTGAGTTGGTAATGAGAACAGAGAGTAATCTTCGAGAGGCCAGTCCACCTCATACCTGGAGAAGCCAATGCTCAGAATGAAGTGTGAATTCTAATCTACAAGGTGTTAAGCCAGGCCTTCTCCTGGATAACATCTGTTCCAGGTTCTGCTCCTCTTCCATCTGAGCTTCCTGGTAGCTGCCCGGTGATTCAGGAGCAGTGACTCTGCCCTTTTCTCTTGAGAAACTGATGCTTGGATGATGTGTGCACTTGTACACAGATATCTTCCCTTGCCGTTCAAGTACATCTGTCACAGATGGCACAGGAATCAGCCTTGGTAAGTAGGGTGTATACATTTTCCTGGCTGTGGACCTGTACTCCCAAGAGTAGTCAGATTTTGAGAACAGACTAGTCAGATTTTGAGGATGCATCTTCACCTCTATCTCCAGAGAGGCCACCTTTCCTACAGATGTCAGCCTCCATGCTGGGACTTGGGGAGACCACTTTGTTCTTTCACATGAGGGTTTGGACCAGGCATAATAAAGGTTCTGCCACATCAAAGCAGCATTTGAGGACAGTTTAAATAAAGCTTTTAAAAGATGTACGTGGAAGTGAGAAGGAGCAAAGGAAATAGACTCTGCTCAGCCTTCATTTCTTGGTCACTGCAGGTGTAACTTGTAGGGAAAAGGATGCTTTTGTGTGCGTGTGTGTTTAAATTCTTACCCTAGGCTAGCCTTGAACTCCTGATCCCCTTCTTGCTCCTCATGCAGTACCATGCCTGGGTTAAGATTTGTTTATAAAATTGTAGTTCAATGGCAGACACTGTGCCTGGCATGCATAAGGGTCTAGGTTGGTTATCAGCACCTCACACAACTAAGGTCAGCTTCTTTTTAAACAAGAAGACAAAGCTAGCACCCAGATCTGAAAGATCTAGCTGAACTGCTTGTGCCCATAGAAACTAACTCCTGATCCACAAGAGACCATGAAGAGTTGGAGGGTGTTAAGAAGGTACACTGCTTAGCAAAGAGGCCCCTATCATCTGGCTGTGCCTCATGTCATAGTAGAGTGGGCAGCTGAGGACAGCCCAAAACAAGACCAAAGTCCTAGCAGGGAGCTATCAGCCTCCGTTTCCGGATACATGCCCAAATCCACTCTGGGGAGACCAACTGGGCCTCAGTGTTCTTATCCCTGGTACCCAGCACATGTGTGGCTGAGGCGATGTCAAATTCCTGTACCAGGTCCCCGTCGAATGCCACAAAATAGCGTTTGAGCCGTTTGAAGTCTGGTGTGGAAGGTGGCAAGTAGAGCTGCACCCCAGTGAAGACATTCAACAGCACCTGCAAACAAGAGTGGTCCATGCAGAGTGAGCCCCATCCTGAGCCTAGGTGGGGCTTAACCCACCCGAGAACAGGACAGCAGAGTTGCCTGGAGTCCAGGATTTAGGACAGAGTTTACTGGAAAAAAGACACCATGTGTTGCTATCCCCATCCTCCAATCACTGATAGACCTAGGTCTGACAGTTCCTCCTATCTCTATTAGGAGAAAAGGGAAAAGTGATGGGCTCCAACATCTGAACCAGGATATGGAAAAAGGACACCTCTCCAAGAGCCATTCAATGCAAAATTCCCTACACAGCTACCTAGTCAGAGAGAGGGTCTGGGAGTTCTGCTAATCAGTGTGGCTGAGTTCAAGGGCTTCAGGGAGGGCAGAGATGGGAATGGTTCAACTGAGAACTGGGTTCTGGCCCTGAGATGTCAACTTCTGTACTGCTAGGGCAGGCTCTCTCTGTTGTTCATGGCCAGAAGCCACCCAGGATACCACAGACTACCTAGTTCCTGATCTCAGTAGTACTCAACAAATGTTGCCAGACCAGGGACTAACAAAAGGGAAGACAGGCTCCTTAGCTGGCAGTTGTCTGTGTCATGGCACTCTCCCTCTGCTTGCTGTGTGGATCTGCTCCGAGAGAGACAAACATAGTGCTGCACCCCACACCCAGAGTGGGCTTCGTTCTTTAATTTGAACTGTAATGACACTGGCACCCAGGTGGGCCCCTGCAGCCTCTCCTTGTAGGCCGGCTCTATCTCCTGCCTGTTGGCACAGTTCTCCTTCCTCTTTGCCGGCTGACCTGCCGCCTCTGCAAGGCAATAAGAAGGCACAGGGTGAAGCAGCAGAACTGCTCACCTGCCCATAACAGGAAGGTGAGGGCTCCAGAAACCTTCCCTCAGACCAATAGGGACACCTTTTCAAACTGACACACAGAAGCCTGAAACTCCTGAGCCAAACTGACCTGTCTCCTGCACTAGTATTCTTACACTCACCTTTGTCGGGCATGGAGTGTCATCAGCAGCTTTCCTCTTCACCCCCACTTTCACTGGAGAAGACTTCATGGCCAGCTTCTCTCCTGGTTTCATGGGGGAAGGCTTTAGAATCAGCTTGTTGCCTGCAGGATAGCAGAGGTCAGGGTATGAAGTTAACAGGGTACTTACTGAGCATGTGTAAGGCACTAGGTCTGATCCCTAGCACTGTACAAGCTGGGGCAGGCCTGTAATCCAGCACTACAGAGGTGGAGGCTCAGAAGTTCAAGGTCATTATGGGCTACATAGTGGGTTAAAGGCCAGCCTAGTATAGAAACCTGCTATAAAAACCATCTCAAAAAATCACAAAACCAAACCAAGAACAAAGAGGAAGAGGGCAAGGGGAATGGCTGATGGCCTTGGAAAGGGTGAGGGACGGGCAAAGAGATCTGGTACTTCTGCTATGGTGACGAAAGAAAGGGAGCACGGCTATATCCTTTAGCTTCAAGGTAGCTCATTCCCCAGTCAGACTGGCTCTCTCTGGTACATGGTCGTTCAGGTTTGCTGAACAGATAAGGGGTACCTAGTAGAATAGTTTCTGGCCTATGGCTAGTCACATACCAGGAACGCGCTGAACACTTGCTGTGGTATAGACACCCAATCACTGGACCTCAGAGTTGAAATGTACATCTGCCCTACCATCACCTACTCACAGCTCTCCCCATCACCTCAGGCGCTCTTACTTACCATCTCTGCCATTGGGGTTATTTGGCTTCTGTTCGGTCTTCTTGGAACTGGCAGAGGACTTACTGGGAGGTGCTTTTGGGCCCTTTCGGGGTACAGCAGAGCCCCCATTCTCACCACTGCTGCCTCCAGTGGTGGAATTGCCCTCATCTCCAGCCACCACAGCAAAGTCTGCCTTCTCTTTGGACAGCTGGTACAGTTCCTAAGAAGAGGGGGAGTCAGGCACTGTCAGTCCTTCACCTGTCACCCCTTGTCTGGGATGAGTGCTGCCTGGCATATGTGGCTAGGGAACAAAGTAGGACCCTGTTACTTGACTAACTGGGGTGCAAATCACCATCTGTGGCCCCCAACCTTTAAAATTTTTGATGAAGCTCTGCCTAGCCTGGAATTCACCATGTAGATCAGGCTGGCCTTGAACTCACAGAACTTTTGTCTCTGCCTCCTGAGTGCTAGAATGTTAAAGGTGGGCAATACTATATTCTGCCTAAATCCCAGCTCGCTCTTCAAAAAAGAATGTGTACGAGTGTTTGTCTATACACCATGTAAACATCTGATGCCTACAGAGGCCTTAGAAGAGGGACTGGATTCCCTGGAACTGGAGTTACAGACAGTTGTAAGCTGCAGTGTGGATGCTGGAAATCAAGCATAGGTCCTTTATAAGAGTAGCGGGTGTAGTACTCTTAACCACCGAGCCATCTCTCCAGCCCCTAAACTTCAGTTCTTAATTAGTAAAATAGGACTGTGGCCTGGGAGCAACTTAATCAGGCTGTGGGAAAGCTAGAGGGGCCCTTCAGGGGACCTGCAGAGGGTGAACTGGGAGAAAGAGGCAGTCTCAATTCTTAACTGCTCTCCTTGCTTTATCCCTGTGGGCTGGAGAGAATGAGCCAAATGACACATGAACAGGCCAGATGCCCAGTACTCCAAGGGCAAGACAGTGGGGTTAAGGACACTTAGAAAGCCAAGGAGCTGGCACCTTGAGTTGGGGGAGGTTCGTAGCAGATTTCCAGTCCTTGTCGTCCCGGATTCGGGTGCATCGAGGAAATCTGATGGAGATCCCATCAGCAGTGTGAGCCTCAGATTTGGAGAATTCTGCCCCTGTGATCTCCCACACAGCAGCTTTCTGTCAGGATTAAAACAGGTCGATTATCTTGGCCCGGAAGGGAGTCTCCAGCAGACATCAACAATGTCAAGTGGGTCAAAGCACAGAGACTCGATGGCAGCCAGGAGGTGTGTGTCCACTTCTGCCTCCTCTTGAAACCTGGCTGCTTAAGAAGGGCCTGGTCTGGGGCCTTCTTGAACAGGCCCTCTGACAAGCAGATGGGAATTTGCTTCCCCTCCACTAAGGGCAAGTCCTCAGCATGGGCTGGTTAGCCCTGTGCCTGTCATTTGGCTAAATATTCAAGTCCCATCCTGGGTGGACCTTAACGAGGCTAACTTCTATGGCACTGGAGAACCACAAGCTACTTTTGGGGTGGGACCACAGAGCATCAGGTAATACCTTTGGGTCTGGGACAATAAAGTCAGGATAGTAGATCTTGTTGATCTTCAGCCAACTGGGTATCTTGCTAGGATCCTAAAGGAGAAAAGACAGTTTTGGGCTGCTGTCACGCTGGAGGAAGGTTAAAGCCCTGTCTTTGGCAATAAGACTGAAATGTGGCTTAGCTTTTGTGATCCCCAAGTGATTCTCCCTCTCCAGGGAGGCAGTGGCCCATCGTCCACAAAGCAGGCCCTCTGAGATCTAAAAGCCTAACCCTGCTTCTGTGCACAGAAGCAAGCTCCTTTCTGAATTAAGAAAGGTCTCTGCAGACCTCAGTCCTCAAAGCAAATCCAGTGTCTTGGGAGCGATGACTTCCTCACCTTGCTGATCTTCACCATATCTAGCTCCTTCTGCAGGCGGGCAAGTGTGGCATCATCATGGCCGCCAGAGCATTTGGTGACCGTGCACCACTTTTGGCTGTCAGGGTCATAGCAGCCCATGAGGAAGATGGACATCATGCCGCCTGGGAGGAGAACATAAATTGAGTGTGGGCTAGAAGGAACCACCTTTGCCAAGCCCACAAGAGGTTGCTTGGAGAAGAATGGGCCAAGGCTTTATCATTAAGAGTGGTAGAGTAATCACTCAACTTACTGGGCTCTGGGAAACTGGACAGTGCCTGACACACTGCCTTAAGTGTTCCTCAGATCTTATCTTTCTCCCCAGTCTGGAAACAGGTTTTTCTGAGAAGGAAGGAATCAAGCCTCGAAATAGCTGGTAGTAAACTTCCTTGTGCCAGGACAGCAGAAGGTGTTCTTGACTTCTTAAGAAGGTGTTTTTAACTTCTTTCTATTACTTTACTGTCTTATTAAAACATGTTTTGTTATTTGCTCTTTGTGAGTGTGTACTTATATGGAGCCAATCATACTCCAGTATTCATACATGCTACAGTGTACATGTAGAGGTCAAAGGACAACTTGTGGGCGTCAGTTCTCTCCCTTACTAAGTGGGTATTAATGATCAGTTTAGGCTGGAAGGCTCAGTTTAGGCTGGAAGGCTCGGGGGCAAGTGCTTTACCCACTGAGCTATCAGCTCTTACCCAACTTCTGTGTGTCCTACCTTATGTCACCAGGGCCCCAGATCCCAGGATCAACCAACCCAGGACCATGATCAAAGTGAGTAAGAGGGCCAGTGTGTGTCATTTGCTAGAGTAATACCACAGGGACCAAATGCCACTGACCTTTGCTCCCGTGCCCATAGAAGGCCCCAAGAACCACCAGATCAGCTGTATCAGCCATGGCCCCCTCGTTCAAATAATCTTTTTTAACTTTCAGCCAGTGTCGCTTCCCAGGCTCATATGTACCCTGAAGGGATACAATAAATAGATCAGAGAATGGAAATTCCATAAGGGTGGGGTCCATCACTTCACAACTGTAGGCTGGATCTCAGTGTCCAGGCACTACAGGACACACAAAGCCATTTTCAAATCTAGGACCAGCTTGCCCCAGTAAAGTAGGAAAGACTCCTCCATTGCTTTCACTCTCTCCCTCCTCCAATGCCTCTTTCATCTCCAGCAGGAGAAGACAAAAGGTGTAGCCGTCTTGTCTTACCTTTACATCCTTCAGCACCAGCCCTTCTAAGCCCTCTCGGATCACCCGGTTTATCATGTCAGCCAGGTCTGAGGCTTTCTGAGGGACAGTGGAAGATGAGCAGATTCATGTGAGAATAGATAGTGTTCATTTTTACAAACTAGGGTAGACACATGCTAACTTAGATGGAAGGAAGGTCCTAAGGAGCTGCTTTGGCTGCTTCCCAAGGAAGGACTTTCATGGCCTGCCCATCAGGATGAAGATAACTGGGCAACATATGAAACTGCCAAAGGCAACCATATCAGCCTCCCACAAGAGAACACCTAAGGCTCATCCTCTCACATCCTATGGAGTTCTCTGCTGTTTTCAAACCATTAGATCCCTGCCAGGATAGGAACTTCACTTACTGTGACTTGCTTCATTTCTGAGAACATGATCCGGTTATGGACTTCTACCATGTTGTCATGAAGAAACTTCCGTCGCTCACAAAGAGGCCTAAGGGAAACAGCAGAGCTGAGGGAAAGAGCCTCCTACTCCTATAAGGAACTCTGATACAAGACAGTGCCCTGTGATAAAAATGATGCTTCAGGAGACGGACAGCTATAGATTCAAGCTCCTGTATGAAGAGTTCTGCCGTCAAGGGTTGCAAGGACTCCATCAACACTGGAGATAGACAACTGTAAGCTGTCGCTCACAGCCGGTTCATAGCTGTGCTTTCTACTCTATTGAGCCAAGAGACTACCGGCCTCCAGCCTAGGCTACAAGTTCTGGTCCCACTTGAATAATATAACAACTCTTGTGCTAACGACCCTCTTTGTCTAGCCCTACGCCCCAGGCTAGATAGTCTCTGAGTAAACAGGATGACACATTATGCTCCACACCTTACCCAATCCTTACCCAAGGCTGGCACAGGCTTCGGGACACTACCCATCAGTTCTTTCTACTTTGGATGCTGCAGCTATAGAAATGGGATTTGGGAGACATGCTAAGTGCATAAAGGACACGTATCAGCTGTGTAGGTCCAAGCCCTTCAATGCAGCTCACTCTAGAATACCAGTTTTCCCTGGATGTTTCACCCATGGCATCCTCTACAAGCTGATAGATACAATGCACAAATGTTAGCCCTACCCCTATCTCTTCCCTAACTAAAGCCTCTATAGGCTGAACCCAAATAAATCCCCAATGAAGATAGATTTTGGATTTAATGGTGGTAGCCAAGGAATAAAATCTAATGGTAGATCACGTGCTTAACGTGTAAGGCCCTGGATTTCATCATTACTGCAAAAAATGAAAAAAAAAAAAAAAAAAAAAAGCAAAAGAAAACATATTAAAACACTAGTTAACTCACCTGTCCATCAAACTGACATCATTAAAGTAGATACAGTCAAAAACAAACAGGCAGACATTAGCATCCTGGAAGGCAGCTTTCTGCAAGGGAAATGAGGCAGTAAGCACACGAGGGCAGGGAATCAAAGGAGTAAGCAGTCCACTTCTGCGGCCCCTAGTGGACAGTCCTATTAGTGTTCTCCAGGCCCTAGCCATAGAGCACTCCATGGATGGTGCTCATTAAACTTCAGATCTCCAAGGTTTCCCAAAGGCCCTAAGAGTTAAAGGCTTGGTCCCTAGGGTGGTGAGAAAGGGGAGGGACTTAAGTCATTAGTTCCTAAAGGGATTGTGGGACTGGCCCCTCCCCTGTCTGTGCTCCTCAGCTCATGATGTAAGTGATTTTGCTCTGCTATACGTCCTTGACATGATTGTTGCATCAATAGTGATCTAAAACTATGGGCCCCTGTATTCTCTGACTGTAACTCTAGAACCAAAAAAAAAACCTTCTCTTTTATAGAATAGTTACCTCTGATATTTTGTTAGTGATAGAAAAACACATGCTGAACAGAAACCAACTCAAGTCTAAGTTGGTTCCTAATAGCAAATCCTTTTTATGGAAGAACAAAAAAGGAACAGGCCCCGTCCTAAGTGACTTATTCCCCCTCTATCCCCTTTTCAGACCGACAGCACATTTTTGCACACAGAACTCTCGGCATGTACCTTGTGCACTCCCAGAGTCCCAAAGGGCAGTGGTTTGCCTGTGTTGTTGTCAATCAGGAGCACCTCGGAGTCCAAGATCATGCTTTGACCCCCAGGAAAAGCTTTGGGAATGTAGTCCTTAAAGTGAGCCACCTTGAAGTAGAAAGGTGGCATTAGCAAGGGTGACATGGACCAAGCCATAGTGATCAAAGCCCAGGAAAAATAACAGAGAGAACTCACGGAGTCTGAGCAATGGATAAAATGCACAGCTGTGCTGTGTCAGTCCCTCCTGCCTCTTGAAAGAGGAGCAGGTTATCTGCTTTATTACCTTTGTCTAGACCCAGAAAATGGCCAGCCTACCCTGGAGCCACTTTCTATGGGCTGTACAGAAGGCTTGGAGGAAAAAAGAAGAAACAGTGAGTCTGTTAGGGAAGACGAAGAGGTAGACAAATACAGGAGGGAAGGAAAGAAGAAAGATGGGCAGGTTCAGATTAGTGTCCATTACAGAAGATTGGGGTTATCAGGCTGAGGATCGGGATGGGGGAAATAGATGGGTTGTAGAACAGACAAAAACAAAGCTCTGAGCACAGCAAGAAATGAGAACAGGATCTCCTCTAAGTGGGAACTCTGAAGCCCTTGCTGTCTTCAGAGTATGAGCACTGGGACTGGATTCTTCCTCACACAGCCAGAGCCCTAATTTCTGACAGCTCAGTGGGGGAGGTCCCACTGCCTACCCAGGTATTCCCTGACAAAGCTCTTAATTCCTCAGCTGAGACCAGCCCACAGGCAGTCACTGCCTAAGATATGGAGTGGGATGACTGTCCATCCTTACTCTCTTCTATCCCCAACCCAACCCTTCAAGAACCAGCAGACTGGGGACATAGCTTACTGTATAGCCCTTACCTAGCTCGTGTAAGCCTACACTCAACCTGCAGCATTTGGAAAGGGAAAGAAAGCATATTCTGGAAAGCTGTCTTCAAATGTCCCTGGGTCACAAGAGGGTCTGTCTGACACCATCTTTATCACAGCAGTTCCTGATCAGTTTCTAGTACCCCTGGAACAAGAACCTCCCTTTAAAGCTCCATGAAGACTACTACTCTGCTCTCTTGCTCAACATATAAAACAAGGGGCCCAGCTACTACATCTCTACTGAACCACAAGCAATGGTTATAATACAACACATAAGCCAATTCACAGACTCTGAGAAACTGAGTCAGAACTGGGGAAGAAGTGGGCAGCAAAGTTAGGGCTTCCATTTGCTCACAAGGTATTAGAACCAGATAATCCACAGACCCCAAAGGACTGGCCCTGGGAGCGGAGGACTGGGGGAGGAATGAATAAGGTCCTTAATTCTCATTAACCCTGACTAGGGCAAGGAAAGGGACCCAGGCAGCCCCACACAGTACTGTGCACTTATCAAGCTGCAAGCTCCATGAAGGTCAAAACTTTCATCTATTGTTTGTACTTTCATATGGCCAGTAGCTACAACACTGCACAACATGAGAAATACTTGTTGAGCAAATGAATGGCAGCTCAACAGTTCCTTGCATATGAACCTTAATCTATCCTGGGAGCACAGGGGACATGGAAACACCAATGAAAACACTGAGTTCACTGTCTGCACTGCACTGTCCCAAGGAGCCCTTTCCTGCCAACTAACCCAACTCAGGGCTCCCACAGCTAAGCAGCCTTTCTTTACTAGAAGAGTCAGGAATGAATTCCCTCCATTCAATTACAGATTAAAAACAAACTCCCTTCTGTGAAGCACAGCTGGAAAAGCCCTGCAGTTCTGGCCCAGTGATTCTTAAAGGCAGAGAGAAGAAAGTCCCAGCTGACAAACTATTACCTTGTGAGGCAGGACAGGCTTGAGACTGCGGCTGAAGTAGCTGAAGTGGTCCCCCTTCTTATGCACCTGGACTCGCTCACCATCGTACTTGATCTCAGAGAACATGCCATTGGGACACTTCTTCATTGCATACTCGATGGACTTGCAGGCCTCAGCCTTGGGATGGAGAAAGCAAATGCTGGAGCCTTTCAATAAGGTTCTTAGCAGAACCTGGGGTTAGGGTTGTCAGGAAAGAACACGGTCCGTTCACTGACTCAGGATAGAGTGCTGAAGGGGTGACGGTATTGCAAAGGCTGGGCAATGCTGCATTCTGATTATAAAATCATCAGCTGATATCCTGGGCTGCATAGCAAGATTGTCTCAAATAAAAAATAGCATATCACCAGAGTTAGCTTAATAGTTTGCATTCTGAAAAAGATAAATGCTATCTATTCTAGAATAAATAAAGCCCTTCTGAAACAAGATTTATTTTCTCAATAATTTAGTACCTGGCTTATTAAACACACTTGCTATCACTGTGATGGTGGGAGGAAGAGTTGAGGGCCAGTGACAGCGAGGCTGGCAGGGTGACTGTAATCAGACACTGACAGGACACCCAGACACAGGCACACTCACTCACATACTGGCACCAGGCAGAACCAAACAACAACCACCATTTTTGGGGTTCTTGTCAAGCCATAAACATGGTGTCATGTCATCTTTGATATGATTCTTCAGATACAGATTCAGAATAAGTGATCTGAAATTTGGGAGGTTATGCATTCACTATGTCAGGCAGCCAGCAAACAGGCAGACACAGATATGCACCTAAGCCCTCGCCCCAAGTCTGTGTGCTAGAGCACTAAGTATGGAACCCATACCATTCCTCAGACAAGGCGGTGGGATGGACTCCAGGGAGAACTCCCATAAGCCAAAAAGCCCCTTCTCCAAGTGAGGGAGCAGGTTCTATCCCTGACATGGAGATCACACTATTTTGGCACTGGCTATCCTACATTTCTGGTAGCGAGGGAACTCTTTCCTATCCCAAACATAGACCTCCTAACCCAGTGATGTAGTGCTACAAGAGAAATAAATAAATAAATAAATAAATAAATAAATAAATGAATGAATGAATGAATGAATGAATAAATAAATAAATAAATATCCCTGGAAAGCCCAAGGAGCCTCATAGCAAGCAGAAGACACGGACTCTGCTACACATGAAAACCAGAAGAGACAGCCCATCCTCACTAAAGCTGCAGAAATCCAAGTTACCTATGGGAGTGATGCTTTATTCCTGGTGATGTTTTTCCCTGTCACAGGACGCCTGGCTCTGTTGCCAGCTCTAAGCTGGAGGTCCTGCAGGAGGTCACATTCCTGTCTTTAAGTGTGATGCTAAACCACTCGGCTCACATGCCACTCCCACAGGGAAAGTAAAGCAAGAGGGGCAGGATGCTAGGGCTTGTTGACAATGCTGGAGGCTAGGCTCAGGTTTATCAGATCGCCTGCTTTCTTCTGAACTCTTACTTCCTGGCCTAGCACTGCTCTGCTCTGCTCATCTCCACCCTTTCTTTCCCCACACTTCTCCAGGCAACCTACAAGAGCCCTTGCCTTTCATCCCCTTTCAGATGCCAGTGACTTGAAGAGACATGGATGATAGGGACAAGGCAGTGTTCCTCACCAGCATGGGCTGCACAGGAGTCATCAGTGAGGCTTGGACACTCAGAGCCCGACGCCGGCCTGGGTCCTTCTCCACCTCCTGCTCATTGTGAAGGACCCGCTCTACCACATCCTGCAGGTTGCGTGACGCTTTGAAGGCTTCATAAGCATTGGGGTCAAGGGCATCTAACCTGCCAAGGGGGATAGGAACAAGGAAACAAACCTCTACATCTCACATTATGGCTCAGGGTAGCAGTCTGTCAGACTGCAGAGGTGATGGGGAAGTCGCCTTGTTCCATCTTGTAACTTGAAGATGTGTCTAGCCTACAGTAGTAGTGACATAGAGCCAAAAACAGTTATAAATGTGCCCCAACACAAAATGGCCAAATTTATTTAAAAAATGAAATGTTTTTTTCTTTTTGGTAACCTGAATGAACAGTTCTTCAGCATGAATTCTGTAGATACTGCAAGGTCAAAGGGTTGGAAATCAAAGCTGGCATAGGAAAAGATGAAACAGAAATTGAGGGTTTTGAGACCCTGTGCCTTTCTTGATGCAGCCTTGGCAGAGGATGAGGCTGGAATGGGCAAGAAGCCTATTCCAGACTTTCAGTTGCAGTAGCTTTGTGTTAAAGATAGTTATCTCCACTTTACATGTGAGAAAATGGGTGTGAAGGCGAGTTAGGGTCCCAGAGGAAGTTCCTATGAGGGTTCAATCTGAAGCAGGGTTCCCAAGTCTTGAGGGCAGCAGGAAATGAGGAAGTTGCAGTTCAGAATGTCAGAACAGCTATGGTACTTACACATGTTTTGCACCCGAGTTCATCTTCAGATCATGTTTGATGAGCCGAATGATACACTTAAGGTCATTGGCTGTACACCTAAAGAGGGGAGGCTTATTCAGCTTGATCTCTGAAGAACTGATCCCCCAACCTTCTTTCCCAAAGTAGGCCACTTCCCCATCCCATCCCATTGGGTCTGGATGAGGCAGTACCCCGCACACACCTGGAGGCAATGTCCTGTAGGGCCTGCTGCTGCTCATCCTCTTTGGTGAGCTTGGAGAGGTGCAGAAGGAAGGCATCCACTTCTTGGATGGTGAGGAGGCTCTTGGCAGCTGGGGGAAAAGACTTGCTCTGCTCAAAGAAGACTCTGATCGTCTCTGACACGTCACCCTGTCTCCAAAAACCAAAACGCCACTGCTGCAACCCCAGGGAGCTCGGGACTAACGATAAAGTTCAACCACAGCTTCTGTCCCCAGGCAGTTCTCAGGGACTCTCTCCCAGCCCATTCCCAGAAGGGACCATCTACCCACATGAGGCCACCACTTGCTTTAGCTAAGTAGAGACACAGCACTGATTCTAGATCAAGCCAATCTGATTCCTGTTTAAGATTCTGAACTAAGAAATATAGTCCTTCTACAGCAGATGCAGGGATAGAAACTCTCCATGGCACCAAAGCTGGAGTCATGAAGAAGCCAAAGATGACGGGAAAGTCCAAAGAAAGGGGGCAAGCAAGCAAGCAAATAAAGCCCAGGAACAGCTCCATGAGAGACAAAAGGAAGTCTCAAGCCCTGACATTTCAGATAAAGCCTTTTGTGGCTTAGCAGTGGTATGTTTTCAGTTACCAAACTTATAAAAGGAACAGCTGTGTCCTCACACTCAGTTTCCCCAGCCTAACAGAGTCTTGCTCACCAAGTTTCGGTTTCCTACACCAGTATGTGCTCAGTCATGTTTAAAACTGGCTGTAGGAAGGCTACCCTGGCAGACTCCCACCTGGGAGTGGCCTCCCGACACCTGCTCTGACCTGTTCTAGGTCCCGGGCCATATCATCTGGGTTGCAGTTAAAAATGCGGCTAAAAAGTTTCACAATCTGCTTATCGTTCAAGTTGTAGACACTCTTAATGACACCTGGCAGCAACAGCTTCACTGTTAGATACACATCACCGTGGAAGCCATCTGAAAACAAAAGAAAGGAACTCCCATTAAGAAGTGGAGCTGCCAGGTATGGTGGTGCACACCTTTAATCCCAGCACTCAGGAGACAGAAGCCTGCAGATCTCTGTGAGTTCAAGGCCAGCCTGGTAAGTTCCCAGAGAGCCAAGGATATAGCCAGTGAGGTCCTAACTAAATTAAGAAAAAAAAAAGAAGAAGCAGAGACTGCTTCCCATGACTGCCTGCATGTATAATGTCAGTAGCAGCAGTCAGCGGCTGTGGTTTTTGTCGGCCTCGTCTTTACCCCATGATCTCCACTGGGCAAAGCTCTGACTTTCACTTTGTCATGTGAGACAGAGCCAGGAGATTCTAGTCTAAACCAGGCATGTGGTTCACCTAATCACTTTCATGAGCGGCTGATTTCTGTGCTAGTCAATGGGGTGGGTTCTTCTGCCTCCTGGAGACAAAATAAGGGCAGAGGAAGGAAATGGCCAAGCACACTGAGCAGAATTGGCTATATAACATGTAGGGTCTGGTGATAATTACAACTATGGAATCCCATTTCAAGAGTATCAAGAATTTCAAGATACCAGTGTCTTGTGCCCATAAAGCTGGCCATGGCTCTGAGCTTTTCAGAGAAAAAGCACACTCAGGATGTACGTGGATGTCCCTACCTCCTGTGGAGCCTTTCTGCAAGAAGTCCTGGATGATCTGGGTCTTTATGTTGTAGCTAGGATTTTCAGCTACCATGGCACACAACTTCCGGAACTCTCGAAGTAGACAATCTTTGTGTTTAGGGTCACATTTACTTGCTGACAGACTTGTTCTAGGGGCAGGGCTTGAGGGAGCTTGCTCAGAGTTGTTGGGTTTGGCTGCTGGAGAGAGAAACGGCACAGATGATTCATTTTTCCTTTTTAGGAAGCAGAAAAAGGAAGGAAGAACACTAACATTTTGTTGCGGCTTCATCTGTAGTTTTATTTAATCCCCCCAAAGAGTCACTGGAGGTAGATGTACTGGATCCATATCACAGGTGCAGATATGGAGGTCAAGTAATTGGGCCAAATGCCGCTGCTTGTAGATTGGACTGAGAAGCAACTGTTTGTGTGAGCACCTCACATAGGAACAAAGGCTGCCTTCATGCCACAAGCCATCAAGCAGATCGTAGAGCAATTGTCATTCTGATACTAGAAAGACTGGGATGAGCAAGGGACAGCCATTGTGGATGGTCAGAGCTGTTGCAAATCTGTCAGATTACAGAGTTCACTGTCCTCTTACTGATGAGACCAAAGACCAAGAGCAGATAGCTTAAGACCACTACCTCTTTGGTACAAGAGCCAAAACAGGGATGCCAACAAGAAAGTCAGGATCCATCAGGCACTCCAGCTTGTCTTACTTATTTATTTATTTTTGATATAGGGTTTCTCTGTATAGTCCCAGCTGTCCTGGACTCGATTTGTAGGCCAGGCTGGCCTTAAACTCACAGAGACCCACCTGCCTCTGCCTCTAGAGTGCTGAGATTAAAGGTGTGTGCCACCACACCCTACTAAATGGCAGTTTTATTTTGAGAGAATCCTCATCGGTTCTCTCTCACCTCTTGATGACCATTTACAAGGACAAGGCAGAGTTATTATAGCAAGAAGCTGCTGATTAAGGCTTCTTGTTTGGGTTTTGTAAATTGTAAATCTGTCATCATGTCTGACCTGGAATCCTATCTGGGGTGGGAATCTTTTTTCCAAAGCATCACTGTTTAGCCAGGTTCAAGGAGATTATTACCCTTCTCCTCTCAACTCCTCTAAATTCCATGCCCAAGACCAGGGCCCTTCTAGAACCGTGCTATCCTTGTCAGCTGGACTCTTCTGTATCCCTACCATTGGCCTACTACCAAGCAACACACAAACCAGTTTTCAAAAATAAAAACTACCAGAGATGGCAGCACATGCCTGTACTTCTAGCACCCAGGAGACAGAGGCAGGATGATCTTAATTTCAGAACAGGCTAGATAAGACACTCCCTCTTATATTTTTGGGTTGGGAGCCTAGCCTTTAATGGGTGAGCCATCTCTCCAGCCCAAGAGTCTCTCTGAAATAAAACAAACTTTGAGTGCATGCATGTGTGTATGATAAAACTCCTACAGAACCAGGAATCATTTCTGTTATTTTATCTACCATAATCCTCTGACAAGGCTAATATCTTGATTCACAGACAAAGCCACACTCACTCAAACAGGTGAAGACTTGCTCAAAGTACCAAACTGTCAAGCCTGGACCAAACCTCAATTCTTCTGACTTCACATCTAGGCTTCTTTGAACCTCCTGACTACTCAAGTCCAAAAGGTTTCATTTTATTATTTTTTTCAACTGAGACATTCATAAGAATTGTTTATCTCTAAGGTAATTGCTTATCTCAAGGGTACAGGGTAAGTAACACACTACTGGGACAAAGAGACTTCAATATACTACTAGCCTCCTTGTGAACCTGAACTTCAGTCCATTTGTAGAATAATCATAATGAGCATAACAGAAAAGTACCTCCCGAGGTTAAGTGAGTAACAAAAACCCTAGGCCAACACTTTCTTTTACTTACAGCCAATAAACAGCCCTCTCAATTTCTGTCTGCAGTACAGGTTCTAGCAACGCTTAACTGACTCCATGTCCACAAACAGTAGTTTGTTATACAACAGAAACAACTCATATATGTGTGTGTACAATTATATATTACTTTTATTTTTCTTACCAAGACAAGCAAGAAATAGGAGATGGAATCTGAATCTAGAGCCTGTTAATTCCCAAGTCCTCCTGCTTAATCACTGGGATCTTTATCACTGTTTCCCAATAAAACACAACACCCTCATTCACATATTCTTTTAGGCTGCACACTCATGAATCTCAACATATATGGTATATACGGGCACAGACTGGCAACAGAAATCAAAGGAAAACATTCTATTCATGACCTGTCCTCAGTTCAGGCAAGTTTGGGGAGACAATTTCTCAGAAGTCTGTCATTAAAAAAACTAGAAGAGCAGGTTAGAAAAATCTTTTTGACCCAGGTAATAGCTTTAAGTGGAAGAAGGCTTGAAAAAACCAACAGAGATTAAAGTACATAGAGAGATGCTCTCCATGTGGAGCACTGAGAGTCAGCCATGGCTGGACTGCCTAACGGAAGCCAGTTTCTGACACTCAGTAAGGCAGTATGTCCACTTAGGCAGAAACATAAACAAGACACCAGATAAAGGAGGGCCTTAACAGGGAAAGTAGCCTTAACCCATCTTACCTGAAAAGCCAGAAAATTTCCGGGGATTGGTACTGGTAACAAATGAAGCACCTTTTGCAGGGGATGTCACCTGGCCAGTGGTCGTCAGCTTAGCCTGGACAGCAGCTTTCTTCTTTGGTGTGCCAGATGCCTTAGAGGACAGATCTACAAGACCCACAAAGAACAAAAATACCCTTCAGAGAAAGACTGCTTAGAAAGCTTCTGGAGAGTTTATCAACAGTTCTCAAATCCTTGTTAGGTACATTTCTATTATACTATGACCCCAGGCTTGCTGGTCTTTTTGAGTGGAGGAAGGAGTTAAAAGGGTATTGGGCAAAAAGGAAAAAAAAAAAAAAAGAGATATTTTGGGGACCACTTGCCTTTATTAATAATTTGAATTTTCACCAAAATTCCCCACCTCTTATCTAATATATAATAATTTCTGAAAGTACAGATTTTGGGAAAATCAATATTTTATGGGCATGGGTGTTTTGTCTGCATATATGTCTATGTATACGTGTATGCCAGGTAGCCAGGAAAGCCAGAAAAGGCATTGGATCCCTTGGGACTGGAGTTATAGACAGTTGTGAGCTGCCCCGGAGGTGCTGAGAATTAAACCCAGATCCTCTGGAAAAGCCACTTTTTCTTTTATTTGATGATCCAGGTCTCCAGCCCCAGGGAATCACATTTTGATAGATTAAACTCTATCTGCAGAACAGCCCTATACACAGAAACAACAAAGTAAAATGAAGAACCAGAGCATGTTTGTCTGGCACAGGTAGGAAAATTTTGGTTGTCTGCACTTCTCTTCCTCTGAGTGAGATATAAGTTAGTAAGAAACTGAGGCCATGAGACCAGCTTGGCCTTGAGTTCTAGGCCAGTGAAGGCTAGGTTAGCTAGGACTACACAGGAAGACTGTGTCAGTGAAAAAGAGAGAGAAAAAGTGAGCCAGCAGGTGTAAATTAGGGTACATAAATGAAAAAAAAAAAAAGGATATAGAAGCCCAACTAAAGGGACTGCTAGTTGGCCAAAGATGGGACAATTGAGTACCAACCTGAATGCAATAATGAGCTGTAAGTCTCTGGGAAAAAGTAGTAATCTATAAGTTCATAAAGATAACAAGTTGACAGCTAAAAGGGTGGTGGTAGTGGGTATTCTTTTAAAATGTCAACATCTAAAAGAAAGACTGTAGAGTACCAGGCATGGTTGATACAGGCATGGTTGATATAATCTTAGTCCTGAGGATAAGGCAGGAAGATTGTTCCAAGTTTGAGGCCAGCCCAAGCTACATGACACGGCAAGAATATGTCTCAAAACAAACAAACAAACAAAAAAAAATCTTCTGGAAACGTTGCAGAGTAAAGGAGGCTAAAGAGACATGGCAATTAAATGCAATACCTAGTCTGATCCTAGACCTGAACAATGCAATGGAGGAAAATGTACAACTGAATTATAGTGTTTAGTCAACTGACAAAAGAGTAAACAGATAAGAAAGTATACTTTACTGAGGTTGACAGGTAAACTATGCTCACATAAGACAAGATACTATTTTTCAGATACATACTGGAGTACGTCTGAAGCCTAATGATACAACTTTCTCTGATAGCTCAGTAAAAAAAGAAGTCTGATAAGGAAGAGAGAATGAGCACATAAACAGAAATGATAAACTGTTATCAAGAGGGAAATCCGTGTAAACAGAGTGTGAGTGTTCTTGCTACTATTTTTACTCTTTTAATTATACTGTGAATTTGAAATTATGTTCAAGCAAGACACACAAAGAAATCTCCTAGGCTCTGGTCTCCTGGTGCCCGATCCTATCAGCACGAGCAAGCTGAGAAAGCAGGTTCTCCCCTCACCTGCAATGTGCTGGCTTATCTGTTCCTTTTCATTGTCTTCCAGCTCTTCCCAGCCTTCCAGCTCTGTGAGGTCTTCGATTTTTTTTGTGGTGGCCCGTGCCCGCTCCAGTTTCTCAAACATGCACTTAATGTGGTACCACTCCTTCATATCGCCCCCAGACTCGGAGAAGGGATTGGGCACCACTTTGCCAATTCGGCATACACCCTTTACAATCTTCTCCTTGCATTTCTTGCAGCCAGCTGTGCCCCGCTTGGCATAGTCCACACAGAACCGCTGCTCCGCCATCTCATAGGGGCCAGTACAGAGTCCCACATGCGACCCTGGGAAGAAAACAAGGTGGGTGGCACGTGGTCTTAGATGACCTCCTTGAAAAGGTAGAACAGGCTTTCTTCTCTGGAGGAGACAGCACCCACGAGGGAAATCTGTTTCTGACCACTGGCTCAACTGTCTTATAGCAGGCCAGCGATTGTGTTCTGGGAACAGACACAGTTCTTTTCTGCCAAGGGCACAAAGGTTTCTTGGGAAGAGGATCTTGAAAGCCAAAGTCATATAGCTGCATGAAAGGGTGGGAAACAAAAGACAGGCAGACATGAAGAAGCCAGGCTTCCAATTCTCAATGGCCAGAATCTCATACAGAGCACATGACTACTCAAGCATTTCCCAGTGCATTAAATACTTACCACCAAGAGTTCCAATACAGGAAAAACCAGTTTCCAAAGGGGCATGCAACATCAACAATATGAGATACTCATAATGGATGGTAACCTTTAAATATTACCATTCTGAAGCTTTCTCTTAATAACAAAGAAAAATTACATCTTGCTAATGAAGTTGCTCTGTGAAATGTAACACATGAGCCACTTTCAGAAAACATTTAAGTCACTATAACAAATCCGGGATTTCAGAAGAGGCCCTTCTTTGAGAAATATCTAATCCGAGCCTATAATCAGAATGACTGCCTGAGTTCAAAACCTTACTTAGCCATTTATCAGCTGTGTGACTACTTCTCTGTTCCTAGTTCATCACAATAGTACCAGATATAAGGAGTAGTTGTTCTAAGAGTAAAGTCCTTAGAAACAGAATAAGCAATTCCCTTAGTAATTCAGCAACCTGAATCAGGGAAAGCTGAAATAGCCGGACTGTATGAATCAAAGGCAGGGATGAACCAACTCAAGTGGATAGCGATTATACCCTACCCTTCTTATAGTTATAATTATTTAAGTGGCTTTACAGTTTTAATTTCCAATATACTGGCAACCATTTTTAGCCCAAACACTGCTGAGAAGTAAAACTGATAATGTGTCAGGACAGAAAGCAGGTTTCACTCACTGAAGTACAACATAGAGCAGAGCACACGTGTACAATTGAAGGATTGGAGGCCACGCCTACCCATCCACGGGTGGGGTGGGGGGTGGGCCTAAGGGAGGTAGAGGGCGGGACGGTGGGGGCAGACACCAGGTGACTCCGTTTCCCCCAACAAGCCGACCCTAGACAGCTAACCCTCCTCGACTCCAGCTCTCTAGTGCTAGGATTATAGGTGTGGGCCACCAGGCCTGAGTTCAGTTTATATTTATTTATTTTTGGCTTTTTGAGACAGGATCTTGCTATGTAGCCCTGGCTGACCTGGAAGTCACTGTTGTAAAGCAGGCTGGTGTTCTGAGTGCAGGGATTAAAGGCGAGTGCCACCACACCCGGTCCCAGTTTTATTTTTAAAACAAGACTAAGAGCTAGTTATCGTGGCTAGTTATTGTGTAATCCCATCACTCGGAAGGGTCGGGTATACTTCGTAAATTTCAGTCTAGCCAGGGCTACATAGCAAGTCCGTCTCAAAACAAAACAACACAAAAACAACAAACAAAAACAACCCCAAAGATCAGAACTACTTCATGGGGTGATTACGAAAATTACAACGAATATCAGAGCAGGCTAGTGGAGGAGTGTTGAACTGCCTCCAAGTTTGTATACCAAACTTGTGTATTTGACAATGTACGACTTGGGGGAGGGGAGGTCTGTAACTGGGAGACGGGCCACACAAGCCCCTGACGGTTAAGAATCAGAGAGGCGAGCGAAGGCCGACTGGGCTAGGGGCGAGTAGGAGTTCAACTTTCCGCAAGTTAGGATGGGTGGAGTGCAACCCTAGCCCAGGATAAGACAATTAACACAGGGACCGGTCACGCACTTCCCAATACATTAAATCCATTTAATGCTCGGGAGGCTCGGGAGCCCCCCGGGCCGCGAAGGGCAAGCTGCACGCCGCTCTGCCCACAGGCTCTGCCGGGGAGCCGCGCAAGGAGGGACCGAAGGCAGCCGGGCCCCGAACCCCTTGGGGATGCCCACTCCCGCGCCGATCCTGCTCTCCCCAGTGCCCGCCTAGGGTCCCGGGGGCCGCGGGGCTCTCTCTCGTGGGCTCCCGGGGGGCGCCACGTCACGAAGGGTGTGCCCCCAGGCTGCGCGGCGGGCGGGGGAGGAGCCACGGCCACCCCAGCCACGCCGCGCTCGGCCGGGTCGCTGGCCTCCCTCACACCGCGCCCCGCGCCCCTCCGCGCCGCCCCTCACCTGCCTTCCCCGCCGCCCCGGCTCCGACGTTCCGCACCAGCGACCGGACCGACAGCCCACAAGGCCGCAGGCCTCACTCGATGACTAGGCCGCCTGTCTCTTTAAATACGGGTCCCAGAACCGGAGGCAGAGCGCAGGCGCAGTGGCCTATCCAGACCTGCGTCTTAGACCCCTCCCCCTCCAGCCGCCACGTGTGTCGCTGTTCTGTTCCGGTTTGCACTGAGGAGTTGTGGGGTTCAAGTGGCAGCTTGGGGCGCTGCGGGCCTGAACTCCCTAGAATTTTTCGTTATTGACTATTGAAGATAGTAATTAAAAAATTATTGCAATGAGCCCAGGGAAGGAAAGATCGATTCGTTCCACCCGTATTTTCTATTCCTGACTACAGTTTTGCTGAATTAAAAAATGAGCTATTTTAATTAAAAAGGTACTTAGGCAGTGTGATGGACAGTGGCCCCGATTATAAGCCATTTAGTGTACTACCGCTTCTGAACCTCAAGCCAGCTTTGTGAGTTTGAGATGGCTGTTTTTACAAAAATAAAAGTATCCGGGGCCGGGGCGGTAAGTGACCTTGTTCTGTCTAGGAAGAGCACACAGTTGGGCTTTGTTAGGTAAATAAAGAGCAGATCGCGGAGCAAAGTTCTAATTGTATGGTATAGCCTTTATTCCATAGGGAAGGAACGCTGTGAAGAGCCTAGGGAATAGTTAACTACAGTTGAAACTGGTCAGGGGACAGACTAAGGTAAGCGAACCCAAGGCTATCACACTATCAAAGTGGCCTTGAGATGGAGAAGAAGGTGCATGCTTGAAATTACTTACACTTTAGAAGTACCAATATGAGGGCTAGAGAGATGGTTCCGAGGTTAATAGCACTGCTTGCTCTTCCAGAGGACCTGAGTTCAATTCCTAGCAACCACTTGGTGGCTCACGACCATCTATAATGAGATCTGGTGCCCTCTTCTGGCGTGTAGGTGTACCCGCTGACAGAGCATTGTATACATTATATATATATATATATATATATATATATATATATATATATATATAT